ATGGCCTCACTTTGTCTCTGTCTCTTTTCATCTTTTCCTCTCTGTCTCTGATGTCTTTCTCTGTCTCTTTCTCTCTGTCTCTGTCAGTATCTGTCTCCCTCTGTCTCTGCCTCTCTTTGTGCCTTTGTCTCTCAGTGTCTGTTTCTGCCTCCCTGTGTCTGTCTTTGTTTTTCTCTGTCTCTGCCTCTATATCTCTATCTCAGTATCTGTCTCTGTCTCCTTTTGTCTGTCTGTCTGTCTGTCTATCTCTGTGTCTGCCTCTCTGTCTCCATCTTGTCCCCCTCACTTTTCTCTGGAACAACTTGGGAATCAGTCACAGGCATCATGAGCTCCAACCCCAAACCCTCCAGCACGGGTCTCCTGAAATGTTGAAGAGCAGACTGTGGGAGGTCCACGTGTTCCCGAAAGGTGACAATTAGGGAAACACGCTCCTTTTTCTTCCCAAGAAACATCTGTTCTCGCCAGAGAGACACCTCTCCTTCGACATCTGTCCACACAAAAATCTCTGCCCTCGGGCAATAAAAAAACGGAAACCTGATTTCCAACCTGACTCAGCAAACCACCAGTTTCTGGGTCCTGCTTCATGACTCCATTCAGCCTTTTCTTTCTCTGCAAGTAAAACTTTTCTGACCTTTGCTACTCAAGTCTGCCTTTGATTTCCATCTAAGTTCAGAACAAGGACCCTCACCACTCGAGCTTCCCAGGATATCAATGTCGGAGGATGGAGTACAGGAGGGCTGGCTGCACAGTTCATCTGAACCCACTCTTGGGCCAAACCTCCCTCCCTGGGGTCCCACTTTGACCTTGATGGGAACTTTTCTCTTAATCTTGGAGCACCCCAGGCCCAGCCCTGGGCTCAACCTCCTCGAAACTTAGTCTGGAGCAGGATCTGAATGGCTGTTCCTACCATGAGCATGTGAGGATGGACTGAGGGGCCGAGCCTGGTGTCCACAACATGGTGGTGAGTGCCTGTGCCTATCCTGGGGTGAGCAGTGTCCTCTGAGTCTCACCCCAGAACCTGGGAGCAGGACCTTATTTGGAAACAAGGTCTCTGCACAAATGATAAGTTCAGATGAGGTGGGAGGGTGGGTCCTTGTGCAGTGACAGGGTTCCTTATTTGGACAGAGCCTCCCAGGGAAGATGGCTGTGTGACAACTGAAGCAGAGGCTGGGGTGGTGCCACAAGCCAAGGGATGTCTGGAGCCCCTGACACTTGCATAAACAGGAAGGGCCTCCTAGAGCTACTGAGGAAGCATGACCCTGGGATCTGGGTCTCTGCATCTGGTCTCCAGGATTGAGAGGGTCCATGTCTGTGGTGTGGAGTCTCCCCAGTGTGTGTGACCATCAGCTCCCCCCGGTAACAGTTTGGTTTGATTATTACCATTTTATACCATTAGAAATCATTCAGAGAGGGCTGGTGGAGTGGCTCAAGTGGTAGAGCGCCTGCCTAGCAAGCATGAGGCCCTGAGTTCAAACCCCAGTACTGCCAAAAAAGAAACTAGTGTCACATGCTTGCAATCCCAGCACTGAGGCAGGAGGACAGTTGAGGGCAGCGTGGGCTAACTAGCTCCTGGGGTCTCCACCCTGTCTCAAAAAAACTCAAGCCAAACCAAAAACAAACACATAGGGAGTCTCAGGTTCCAAGCAGGGATGGGTGCGGTGTTGGTGGGATAGTGGTGAGCATAGCTGCCTTCCAAGCAGGAAAGAGCCTGTACTCATGACTCCTAAGTACCTTCCTGCACCCCAATGAGCTGGGGGTAAAGGCCCCCATGGCCTTTCCCTGCCACAATGGGCATCTGTCTGTCTCTCTTTTCTTTTTTTTTGGTTGGATGAGGGGGTTTGAACTCAGGGTTTCGTGCTTACAAAGTAGCTTACAAAGTACCACTTGAGCCACATCTCCAGTCCATTTTGCTCTGGTTATTTTGAAGATGGGGTCTTGTGAACTTTTTGGCTGCACTGGCCTCAAAGTATGATCCTCTGGATCTCAGCCTCTCAAGTAGCTAGGATTACAGATGTGAGCCACCAGGGCCTGGCAGCTGTCTGTCTCTTTAAGCCCCCATCCCTCCTATTGCTCACTGGGATTGGGTGGAGACATTCCTGGGCCAGAAGGACCAGCTGAGAAGGCCCTGGGGCCAGATAAGCTTCTTTCCCTCCACATACAGGCTTGGCCAGGCCTGGCCCCACTGATCTGCATCCAGCTGGAGCCACCCCAGGACCCTGCTGGGTCAGGGAGCTGGGAGGAAGTCCAGCCGCCTTGGAGCATTCTGGCCAGTAGCCTGAGCCTGGCAGGCTGCTTCCTTTTCCACCTCCCTGTCTCAGCCAGGCCTTGTTAGAGGCCTCAGGGCACAAACACCCACTTTCTGTCCAAGCAAGAGAGGGGCCAAGAGTAGAAAGGAGCAGGAAAGGCTGTGAGTTTTTGTAGTAGAAGGTGGGAAGAGTGGAAGGAACAGGTGAGGTGAGGCTGGGAGTGGTGACCATGTTGTCACTCCAGCAGTTGGATACCTAAGGCAAGAGGATTAAGAGTTCCAGTCCAGTTGGGCTACCTGGAGAGATACTGCCTCCAAGGAAAAAAAGGCCAGTGGTGGCTCACACCTGTAATCCTTGTTACTTGGAAGACTGAGATCTGGAGGATGGAGGTTTAAGGTCAGCCCAGGTAAATAGTTTAAGAGAGCCCCCATCTCAATCATGCCTAGAATCCTAACTACTCTGGAGGCAGAGATCAGGAGGATTGAAACCAGCCCTGGGCAAATAGTTCATGAGATTCTATTTCGAAAAAAAAACATCACAAAAAAGGGTTGGTGGAATGGCTCAAGCAGTAAGAGTGCCTGCCTAGGAAGTGTAATGGCCCTGAATTCAAACCTCAGTGCCGCCAAAAAAAAAAAAAAAAAAAAAAAAGACCCGATCTCCAAAGTAACCAGAGAAAATTGGGCTGGAGGTGTGGCTCAAGTGGTGGTATGGTACCTGTTTTGTGAGTACAAACAAATTCCTGAGGTCAAACCCCAGTCCCATCAAAAAAAAAAAAAAAAAAAAGAACACGTGGAATATTATCCAGTTATTTGTAGCTCAGGACACCACCACCCCAAAATAAAGCTGCAGGAGACTCAAATCTGGCACCCTAAACCCTACATCTGTTAATAAAAGCTTTGGGGGATGGGTCACTGTTTTGACAAAGCTGCTGCACAGACCTGGACCCCACACCAGAGTAGAGGCATTCCTGCCAAATTCCAGGACTCAACTGAGACCACACTGCTCCTCTCACCTGGAAAATCAGAATTAGAGAGGAAAAATGTTCAAAACTAGCAAGGTTTAGGCCCAATGATAATGAAGTTCTCTATAAGGCCTTTTCAAAAGAAATGATTGCTCTAACAGTCGGCTATGGCCCTAACCCCCTAACCCTAACCCCAATCCTAACCAGTCCTAAGTAACCCTAAGTCAAATCATAACTCAACCCAAACCCTAATCCTCTCCTTTTCGGGCCCTATCTTGCAAAGAGAGTAACTTAAAATGCTCTACCCACTTTCTGGTCTTTTCCTTTCCTTCCTTCCTTCCTTCCTTCCTTCCTTCCTTCCTTCCTCCCTCCTTCTTTCCCTTCGTGGGACTCGAGGTTTGATCACAGGGCCTTGTGATTGCAAAGCAGACAGTCTTATAGCTTGAGCCACACCTCCAGTCCTCTCTCTCTCTCTCTCTTTGATATGAGGTCTCTCTATGTTGCCCAGGCTGCCTTCAAATTAAGATCCTCCTCCCAGGCCGGGTACTGGTGGGCTTATGCCTACAATTCTAGCTACTCGGGAGGCAGAGATCAGGAGGTTCATGTTTCGAAGCCAGCCTGGGAAAATAGTTTGCGAGACCTTATTTCAAAAAAACCCATCACAAGAGAGGGCTGGTGGAGTGGCTCAAGGTGTAGTCCCCGAGTTCATACCCCAGTACAACAACAACAACAAAAAGATCCTCCTCCCACAGCCTCTCAAGTGCTGGGATTATAGATGTACACTACCACACCAGCCTGTTTCTGCTTTTTTTTTTTTTTTTTTGCCATACCGGGGTTTGAATTCAGGGTTTACACCTTGAGCCACTCCACCAGCCCTTTTTTTTGTGATGGGTTTTTTCAAGATAGGGTCTCACAAACTATTTGCCCAGGCTGGCTTCGAACCATGACCCTCTTGATCTCTGCCTCCTAAGTAGCTAGGATTACAGGCATGAGCCACTGGAGCCCGGCCTGTTTCTGCTTTTTAAAGTCCTTTTCAGTCTATAAGGCCAACTTCATTGGGTCAGATCTTTGGAACGCTTACATTTTATGGAGCAACTTGGCAACAAGCCAAAGGATAGCCGGAGCCCCAGACACTGGGAGAGGCAGGAAGGACCTCCCTAGCACCTGGGAGAACAGCTGTTGCCAGACCTAGGTCTCTAGAAGGAAGTGCAAAATGGAAAAGCCAATTAAGATCTTCAAAGTACATTGTTATAGTTTTGATCTTTGATATTGCTTTGGCCGACTTCCAGCTGTAGCTCTGAAAGTGGCCTTTCTTGAAAGAAATTGACTTCTAGGAAGAAAATTGACTTTAGTAGAACTATCTGTGCTGGGAGGAGGCTGTAGAGATAAACAACTTTTGGCGTTTTTAAGACACAGTCTTGCTATGTAGCCCAGGCTGACCTGGAATTTGTGATCCTCCTGTTTCAGCCTCCTGAGTGCTAGGATTACAGACATGTACCCCTACTCCTGGCTGAGTCTCATGTTTTTGTGGGTACACTGTATGCAATGTGAATTTATATTTTAGTGAAGATATTAATAAAATGGGACATTCTGTTCAGTCTCCCCTTGCACCTTGACTGAGGACTGCTGTGTCTCCTGCCCACCTGGCAGCTCCAGTGCCAACAAATGCTCTGGCCATGGGCCCTCCTGAGAAGCCTGGGAAAGACCACACCCATTTTACAGGGGAGCCAAGGTTTGCTAAGGTCATAGCCACACATAGGTGGGTCAACTCCAGGCAGCCTCAGTCATCTTTCATCACAATTTATTGGCTCTCCTAGACACGCCCAATTTGGCCCCATCTGGGTCCCTCCAATAACCCTGTAGGGAAGGATCCTGCAGAGAGGGGTCCAGGTCACTCTGAGCAGCGGCCGGTGATCTTCCTGATCCAAGACACATAGGGGGCCACAGCGGTAGCCACGGGAGGCTTGAAGACATCGGTACAGGTCTTGGAGCTGAAGGACAGGATTCCAGACAGCTGGCCTTTGCTACACACCAGGGGTCCACCTGAATCACCCTAGGGGGTTGATAGAGCACAGGTCAGCCTCTGTGCCAGAGGAGGGGAACAGGGATCTTCTGGGGCCACTCCCCAGCTGCATATGCATTCCCCAGCTACCCTTTTTCTTTCTGTACTTTTACCTCTTTGCTCTTCCCCATGCCCTGTGCCCAGATTGTCTGTGGTGCTAGAGTTCAAACCACAGATCTGCTTCCTGAAGGTATGACCCTAAGCAACTTATTTAACCTCCTTGAGCTGCTGCAGGTGACCGGGGCAAATGCTAGTCCCAACCCCTTGGACTTCCAGCAAATGGGAGTCAGGAGGGCTGGCTTGGACTGATGAGGGTTCAGCTGGTTCCCATCACCTTGCAGGGGGCCTGGGCCTTGGAGTCAGCTGCGAGGCAGAGCATGTGGCTGGTGATGCTGCCATTCCAGAAACGGCTGTTGTTGCACATCCGGATGTCCAGCACATGGAGGTCCAGCTTCTGCAGTGTCCGGGCCGGTTTCCCACCCTGGTGGGTCTGCCCCCAGCCCACCATGCTACACTTTGTGCCTGCTGGCACAGCACGGCGCCCTCTGGGCACAGCCAGGGGCCGGATGGTCCTGCTGGGTCGTACCTGCCCGTCCAGCTGTGGTGGCAACAGGGGTAGTGAGTGGGTGTGGAGAGGGCAAGGCCTCATGGCAGGTCCTCAGCCCCTCCATCCCCGCACCTTAAGCAGCATGAGGTCATTCTCTAGGTGGAGATTGTAGCCAGGGTGCCTGATAGCTGCCTTGATGTGGAAGGTGAGGCCAGGGGCATGGGGGTTGTGGAGGTCGTGAAGGCCCAGCACCAGCCTCAGCCGTTGTACCCTGTGGGAGTATGAATTACAGCACAGATCCCCAGCCCCCTGTGAGTACAGCACTGTCTCATCCATCTGTGGCCATCTCACATGGTTGAATACTACTGCACCCTTGATGCACACATGACAGCCTCATCAGCCTGATCTTGGCAGGACCTTCCCCTGTCTTCTCAATCCACCTCTTTCAGGAATCCTTCCTTGCTCCCGCTCCTGCTAAGTCCTGGCCCAGATCAGTGGCCATGTGACCAAAAGAGCCAACCTCCTGAAAGCCACCCTGGGAACTCCTCTCTCCTGGGGCTGCAGCCTCACCCCTGTGATTTGTTTCAAGACTGGCACATGCCAACCCTTATACCTTTGCCCATACTACAGAGAAATAAGCTCTTTCACAGGACTTGAGGGGTCCATCCTTGCTACCATGTGAAAGAGACTCATGTGAGCACCTGGATCAAGCTATACCTGAAGCTAGTACTCCTCCTAGACTTTTCAATTACATCTGTTGACCCATCACCTTTTGTTATTTCATTTTGTTTAGGGGTCTTTATTACTGGCCAGCCTACAGGCATAGCAGTGCCAGGATTTCTTTATAGTTTGCTTTCTCTCTCTCTCTCTCTCTCTCTCAGTGCTGGGGATCAAACCTAGAGACCTCATGCATGCTAGGTAAAGTGCTCTACCACTAAGTTACACCCCTGACCAGTAAAGGGTGGTTTTTTGATGGTATCAGGGACCAGCTTTCTTTCTGTGAATTGGCTCCTGGTGGCTACAGGAGGCACACACATTCATAATTGTCACAGGCAGCCCAGTCAGTCCATTTGAAAGGAGACCACCACTCCTGTGAGACTACCCTAGAACCCATAGCCTAGGCCTTTCTGGAGGGTAGGGATGCCATATTGGTCTAAACCCCTCAGGACTGCCCCTACTGGTGGGAATGGGGTCATGGGACACCTGGGGAGGCAGAGGGGTGGGAGTACTCACGGTTCAGTTAGACAGTGGGCAGCGGTCAACACCCACCGTGGGTGCACGAGGACCCCCCCACACAGGTGGGAGCCAGCTTTCTGCAGTGAGGCCATGTATGGGCAGGAGTGGGGGGCAACCTCGTGACCGCCGATGATCTTGATCTCAAATGCATTGCCAGCTGGGTGGGGGGCAGATGAACCTGGTTAGGGTTTTATTGTTTTGTTTTGTTTTTGGTGGGACTGACTGAGGTTTGAACTCAGGGCTTCATGCTTGCAAAGCAGGTGTTCTACTGCTTGAGCCACACCTCCAGTACCTGGTTAGAGCTTTTGCACTCACCCACCACGCTCAGAGGCCCTGGACCCCACAGATCTGCCATTCTAACAAAGTACTCAGCGTTTCCTAAAGCTTCCACCCTTGACCTTTCCAGTTCCCTGTCCCAGGTTCAGCAGCCAGAGGTGAGGTTTAAAATGTCAATCAGGCCAGGCTCTGGCGACTTACACCTGAAATCCTAGCTACTCAGGAGTCAGAGATCGAGAGGATCCATTGTTTGAAGCCAGCTCAGGCAAATAGTTCATGAGACCCTATCTTGAAAAAACTGATCACAGAAAAGGGCTGGTGGAGTAAGTGGCTCAAGGTGTAGGCCCGGAGTTCAAACTCCAGTACTGTAAAATAAAATAATAATATAAAATATAAAATAAAAATTTTAAAAAGTCATTCAGGAGAAATGAGCCTGGAAGGGCTCATGGGAAGGCCAGGCAGGGCAGTCCTGCTGAAAGCCGGCAGTTCCTCATGCTAAGCCACCCAGTGATTCTGCTCCCAGGATGTGCTGGAGAGAAACGAGGGGTATGTCCACTGGGAAACCAGAACACCCATGTTCACAGCAGCATCAACCACAGTAATCACTCAAGTGGGGGAACAGCCCAGGTGTCCATCGACAGATGAGGGACACACACTGGAGCATCACTCAGCCATGAACAGGACAAGGCTCTAACCCACACTACAATGCTGAAGGACCTTGAGTACACTCTCTGGAACTACCTACTCAGTGAGAGAAGCAGACACAGAGGACCCCCCAGTGTGTGACTCCATTGGATTTGTGTTGCTAGGGACTGGGGAAGGGGTGGGGTGACTGCTCATGGAAATGGGGCTACTGCTGTGTGTATGTGTTTTTTTTTTTTTCTGGCAGTACTGTGGGTTGAACTCAGAGCCTCCTACTTGTGAAGTAGGTGCTGTGCCACTTGAGCCATGCCCCCTGTGCTTTTTTGCTTTTTTTTTAGATAGGGTCTCTTGCCTTTTTGCCCAGGGCTAGTCTCAGATTGCAATCCTCCTCCTATGCCTCTTGCATAGCCCAGCTTGCTTTGTTGAAATAGGGTCTTGTGGGATGGGGCTCCTTTTGAGTGTCATGGAATGTTCTAGAATTAGACAGGAGGATAGTTGTATATTTCTGTGAATGTACTAAGACTTGTAAACATTAACTGTGTGAATTGTATAATATGCAAATTTCTTCTCCACAAATCTATTATAAGATTATTTATAAGACAGGGTCTTGCTAGGTAGCCAGGCTCTATCTGCCTCTATTTCCCGAGTGCTAGAATCACAGGCACATGTTACTACACTCAGCTAAAATTTTTTTTAAAGTATTGGTTAAAAAAAAAATTAGAGGTAAATCAGCTCAAAAATCTTCCTGATTCCATACTGGGCACTGGTGGCTCACTCTTGTAATCCTAGCTATTCAGGAGGCAGAGATCAGGAGGATTGTAGTTCAAAGCCAGCCTGGGCAAATAGTTCATGAGACCCTATCTCAAAAAAACCTTTTACAAAAAAAGTGGAGTGGCTCAAGGAGAAGGCCCTGAACTCAAACTCCAGCAACACACACACACACTCTTCCTGATTCCCCTTCGTGCTTTAAAAATCCAGCTACCAGCACACAAGGGAGGGGTGAGGATAGGTAAGACACCTAAAAAACTAGCTAGCATTTGTTGCCCTTAACGCAGAGAAACTAAAGCAGATACCTTAAAGCAACTGAGGCCAATAGGAAAAGGGGAACAGGTACTAGAGAAAAGGTTAGATCAAAAAGAATTAACCTAGAAGGTAACACCCACGCACAGGAAATCAATGTGAGTCAATGCCCTGTATAGCTATCCTTATCTCAACCAGCAAAAACCCTTGTTCCTTCCTATTATTGCTTATACTCTCTCTACAACAAAATTAGAAATAAGGGCAAAATAGTTTCTGCTGGGTATTGAGGGGGTGGGGAGAGGGAGGGGGCGGAGTGGGTGGTAAGGGAGGGGGTGGGGGCAGGGGGGAGAAATGAACCAAGCCTTGTATGCACATATGAATAAAAAAAAAAAAAAAAGAATGCTAGCCTAGACTAATGGTTAAAAAAAAAAAATAAAAATCCAGCTACCTCATGTCCACTAGACCCCCTACTCCATGTCAGTCATTGAGGTCCCCCCAGGTCCCCCAGCGCTTCTTCATTGCCACTGTAGGGCCTTTCCCTGCGCTATTGCAGGATGGATGGATGGACAGATGGATGGATGGGTAGGTGGATGGATACGAGGGTGGTTGGATGATAACGGGTAGATGGGTAGGTGGTGAATGATGGATGAATGGAAGGATAGATGGTTGACAAATAGATGGAAGGATGGGTGGATGGATGATGGTTGGTGGATTCCTATTTACCCATTATTTAGTCTTTAATTCTTAAAGGATCCATTCTCATCCTGTCAGTCAAAATTTCATACTGCCCACCACTCACCTCCCTTCTCACTGTACCTCAGACTCCCGGGTATCAGTTCTGGTCCAGCCTAAGGTTCTGGGGTGACCTGCTGGCTTTCCAACCCCAGCTCTGCCTCTCCATGCTGGGCAGTCCTTCACATCTGCTTTATTCCCTGAGCCACAGTTTCCTGCACTGTGCCCTGGCCTGTGTGCTAAGGATCCTGTCTCCTGACTCCTACTGGGAGGCTGCAGATGAGGCAGGCGAATGGCTCACGTCATCCCCATGTCCTGTAGTTGTAGCTGGGGGAAGTTGAGGCGCATGGAGGATCCTCAGGTGCCAAAGTTTCCCCCTCAGAGAACGACAAAAAATAAAAGTCATGGTTTTTACTAGGGAGAAACCTAGTGGGTATCCCCTTCATCAAACAGCCCCTTGGCTACAATCCGTGTCACCTTGTGCAGCTAGGACAAAGTGGCCCTGTGCATTCCTGGAGATGCACAGCCCCAGTCTATCAAGGAAACGGCAGAGGGACCATGTGCAGGAAGGGCACATGTCAGTTTCCAACTCCAGAGGAAGACAGCATGACAGAACGCGTTGTACCTTCTCTCCCTATAAAGGCCAAAATGGGGCTGGGTGCTGTGGCTCATATCTGTAATCCCAGCTACTCTGGAGAGCTGCTAGAGTGGTTCACGTGGTAGAGCGCCTGCCTAGCAAGCATGAAGCCTTGAGTTCAAACCCCAGTATCACCACCAAAAAAAAAAAAAAAATTACAATGCTAGGTACTCCAGCAGCAGAGACCGGGAGGATCAAGGTCTGAGGCTGGCCCTTCAGAAAAAACATGAGATCCTACCTGAAAAATAACTTATGCAGAAAAAGGCGGGGGACGAGGCTCAAGTGGCAAAGTGCCTGCATATCCCCAGCCCCTCTGATTCTTTTTGAATGATTTTTTTTAACTTCCTGATTTATACAGTTGACAACCCTCTGTGTGATTCTTGCAACTTGACCACAATCAAGTCAAAATGAAAAAGTTTAAAACTTTCTCCAAAGTGGGCTGTGATTCTGCCACTTGAAAGTCTTAAGTGTTGCAGAGTTGTACAGCCATCACCAACTAGATGCAAGCTTTGATCACCACAGGGCAGTACTCTCCACACTTTAAAAATATTTTGCTGTTTTCCACTAGGTAATCCATGTGCACGGCACGAAATTTAAAAAGTACAAACTTGGAGCCAGGTGTTGTGGCCACGCCTATGAGTCCACAGCTGAGGCAGTAGGATCTAGAGCTCCAGCCAGGCCAGCCTGGGCTACAAAGTTGAGACCCTGAGTCAAAAACAAACAAAAAAACCAAAACCGCTCATGCCTGTAATTCTAGCTACTCAGGAGACAGAGATCAGGAGGATCTTTGTTCAAAGCCAGCCCAGTCAACTAGTTTGTGAGACCCTATCTCAAAAAAAAAAAAAACCAATATAAAGCAGGGCTGGTGGAGTGGCTCAAATGATAAGAGCACCTAACAGGCCCAGCAAGCTCTTGAGGCCCTGAGTTCAAGCCCCCAGTACCACAACAAAACAAAACCCAAAACAAAAAAAGCAAAAACAAAAAATCCCCAAAGCCAGGTGCTGGTGGCTCAGGCTATTTGGGAGGCTGAGATCAGGAGGATCATGGTTCGAGGCCAGCCTGGGCAAATAGCTCGTGAGACCCCTATCTCTAAAATAACCAGAGCAAAAATAGACTAGAGGTGTGATTTAAGTGGGAGAGCGCCTGCTTTGCAAGCTCAAAGCCCTGAGTTCAAACCCTAGTCCCACCAAAAGCAGTAACAGAGAAAAAGTACAAGTGGGAGAGGGGTAGAGCACCTGCTTAGCAAGCATGAGGCCGAATTCAAACTTTAGTTAATCACCAAAAAAAAAAAAAAAGTTTTATCTTCAAAAAGTGGAACTCCTTCCCTTTACACTCTTCCTGTACTCTTGAGCCCCTTCTTGTCATCAGCATAAGCACATATTCTTACACACTGTTAAAGGAGGTTCTATTTTGCTTCTGTCCAGTCCTGCATTTACTGTTTAAAATTAGGGCACGCTACTTCCTTCTTTTTTGGGTTCTATTTCTTGAGGGCCATGAGCTATTTCCACTTTGTGCCCTTACAGTTGGGACTCTGGCAACAGCTCCTCTCTTCCACTCACAGACCCCCTGAGCACCTGAACTTTAAGTCTGTTTCCCCATCGTGTCCCCAGCTCCCACTTACCTGCCAACAGGGTCCCAAGGACCACCACCAGCAGCAAGAACCAGCGGGGCTCCATCTTACTGCAAGACTTCTGAGTCCCCCTGCCCCCAAAGCTTTCAAACTCTTGCCCTCTTCCTGTGGGGACAGTGACATTAACAGCCCCACCCCACACCTTGCACACAGACACTTCCTTTTGCAGCTGGTCCACCTCACCCACCATCATGCCTCCAAACTAGCAATATTCCTTGTTACATCTAGCAGTGTTCAAATTCCCCTACCTTGTGTGTGTTATACAATTTTTGGGGAGGGGGAGGCACTGGGGTTTGAACTCAGGGTCTCACGCATGTGCTCTGCCACTTGGAGCCACTCGTCAGCCTGTATTGAACGATTTTAGTATCACTTTTGTGTGTGCTGGGGATGAAATCCAGGACCTAGGCACCTGCTCTATCACAGAGCCACATCCCTATAAGCCCCTTTCTCCTTTTTCTTTTTTGGAGACAAGTCTTGCTAGATAGCCCAGGCTGGCCTCAAACTTGAGATCCTCCCAATCCTCAAACTCCGCCTTCTGAGTGCTGGGATTACAGACATGAGCTACAATGCTCAGCTCTTTTTCTTTCTCTTTTTTTTTTGGTACTGGGGTTTGAACTTAGGGCCTCACACATGCTAGGCAGGTACTCTACTACTTGAGTCACTCCACCAGCCATTTTTTGGGTTGAGTGTTTTCGAGATAGAGTCTCATGAACTATTCACCTGGTTGGTTTCATTCCTCGATCCTTCTGATCTCTGCCTCCTGAGTAGCTAGGATTACAGGCATAAGCCACCAACGCCCAGCCAGGCTCTTTTTTCTTATTGTGTTAAGAATACACACAGTATTTATCATCTTAATCACTTTTATGAATGAGGCTCAGAGGCCTTAGCATACTCATGTCATTGTGCAACTGTCTCCACCACCCATCCCTGTAACTTTCCATTTTCCCAAACCGAAACTGTACCCATTAAACACTAACTCCCACTCTCTGGTACTCGCCATTTAACTTTCGCTGTGTTTGACTCATTTGACCTTCTGTGACTGGCTCAGACCAGCAGGGTTGCAGATGAGGGGGAGAAGATGAATGGGTAGTGGCCTGAGCTGCTTGTGCTGCCAGCTTTCTGGATGTAAGAAAAGCCAAAAGTTAGCCAGATATGGTGGCACACATCTATAATCCCAGCACTCCAGAGGCAGGAGGATCGAGATTTCCAGGCCAGCCTGGGCTATGTAGTGAGATGCCATTTCCCTCACAGTCCCTCCCCTCCCCTCCCACCTCTAAAACAACCTAAAAAAGAAACCAAAACCTCACAAAACTATGGACACCAAACAGTATGGCCATACCCATGGCAAGATGGGAGCCTCAGGTTTGCCCCGTTGCCCTGCCCAACTCCTTCTGGGCAGAAGTCACCCAGGCTCTGGCCAATGCAGCCCACAGTCCTCCTCTTTACAGTAACTGGTCAGGTCAGGCAACCTAAGTTCTGCAGTGCTAAAGAAAGAGCCCCAAGGCTGAGTCCAATTCTTGGTGGGAAACCTCATCCTAATAGTACCTAAGCAATCAGAACCCAATCATTTCAGGACTTCTCAATTAATTACACAGAAATAAAGCCTGATGGGGGAGGGGTATATGAAAGAATAATAGAGCTGGACACTGGTGGCTCATGTCTGTAATCCTAGCTATTTGGAGGCAGAGATCAGGAGGATCACAATTCAAAGCCAGCCCAGGCAAACAATTCATGAGACCCTATCTCAAAAAAACTTCATAAAAAAGGGCTGAGAGTAGAGTTCCTGCTTAGCAAACCTGAGGCCCTGAGTTCAAACCCCAGTACTGCCAAAAGAAAAAAGGTAATAAAGGGTACAACATATTCATGTATGGAAGTATCACAATGAAACCATTTTGTACAATTAATACATGCTAATTTTCAAAAAATGAGTCCTAGATGTCCTGACACAGGCTGAGAGACTGAAGGGATTTATAGGCAGCAGTGGAGTCACCTGAGAGTTGTTCCCAGCCCTGGGAACCATAAGAATCCATCTCTAGATCCCTGAGGATCAGGGTCAAGCTGATTAACAAATGCAAAGTAAGCCAGATTTGTTGGGCACAGTGGTTCACATCTGTAATTCCAGCTACTTGAGGTGGAAATAGGAGGATAAAGGTTAGAGGGAGGTCAGCCCAGACAAAAAGTTCATGAGACCCACCCCTCCCCCAATAAAAAGCTGGGGCTAGTGGTGCGTGTCTGTCATTGCAGCTATGTGGGAAGCATAAACACTAGGATTGTAGTCCTGGCCAGCTGGGCATAGATGCAAGAACCTATTTGAAAAATAACTAAGTAAAAAGCCGGGGTCATGACTCAAGTGGTAGAGCACTTCCTAGCTAGTCCAAGGCCCCGAGTTGATCCCCAGTACCAAAAAAAAAAAAAAAAAAAGTCAGCTCCATCTATCCAAATCCTAAGATGCTCTGTGGACATGGCCCTTTCCCAAAATGCAACCAGCCAGAGGTAGGAAGCCCCTGGAAGCTTTCTGGTTACCCCGATTCCCCAGGCTGGAAGGAGGTGGCCACCCAGGCCTGTTGAATCCAGGTCATACTTCAGAGCTGCAGGGACATGACTTCTGTCCTGAACTATTATTTTTGGTGGTATTGGGGTGTGAACTCAGGGCCTCATGTTTGCTAGGCACTCTACCACTTAAGCCATGCACCAGCTGCCCTGAACTCCTGACTGGCTGCCTTCACCTCATCCCTTATCTCCCCAGGTAGGATGCCCTGACCTCACATCCAGCCTGCTGTGGAGGCCCCAAGCTGGTCAAGAGTTCCAGGTGACAGAAGGGCCTGCCAATCACCTCTCCACCCCAAGGAGAGCTTGCCTATCTTCTCATAAAGCAGTTTTATTTAGATTTCAAACAAACCAAAGCAGAGAAGAGGTGGCTACAGGCAATCCATCCATTCATGAGCTGGGCATCAAGTCTCTGGCTCTGAGAAGCTGGGTGGTGGGCCCGATTCTGGGGCCATCCCAGGCTGTTTGCCCATCTCCGCCCCCTGCTGTGGCTGTGCAAGGCGCTGCTGGGCTGTAGCCAGTCCTGGAAGCCAGAGCCTCTGTGGAAAGGTGGGCTGGCCCTGCATGAGGGAGGCGGGCGCTGCTCTTCTCTGAAGCCGAGGAAAACCCAGGAACACATATGGGAAGAAGAAAACCTAAATGCCACCACCCCAAGGAGAGGAAGCAACACAAAACCTCCATGAGGTAGTCTGTCGTCTAAGAGCCATACAGGTCCATCCTAGTGAGGTAAAATTTTGTAAGTTTATTTCGGCGGGGGACACGATGTCAGGACTCCTCATTGCTGGAGTCGTCCTCGTCGTCCCCAAAGCAGCTGTCAGCCTCCTCCTCCACCTCGCCATCCTCATAGTAGTCATCGTAGAAGAGGTCCGAGCCCTCATCAGGCGCCGGCGCCTTGGTCTTTATACAGTATTCTGCCAGTGTGGTGGGCACCTTCACACCGTCACGCTCTGCATCCACCTTGGTCCCCAGGACCTGCTTCCTGAGGGAAAGGATGGGTGAGGGCACTGCTTAGATACTATCCCCTCCCCATGTAACCTACACGAAATCAGAAAGGAGATGAGAGGAAAAGAGTAACTTGGGAGAGGAAAGGTCATGTGAGGGGCAGCTGAACCAGACCCTTCCCCAAAGACAAAGCAAGCTGTTGAGGTTAATCTTGAGACAGGTGAAAATAAAGATAGAGGCCAGCAGTGCTCTTGGCACAGGAAAGAGCTGGAAGGCTTAGCCTGAGGTCAGGGACAGAAGGAGCCTATTCACAGAGCCACAGGCACAGCAGGAAACTGGGCAACAGGCCACAGCTCTACACTATCTGCAGACTGAATTTTAAAACTGAGACGCACCAAGCTTGTCCAGGTTCTGTGGGAAGGAAGCAGATGAGAGGGACTCCGGCCAGGGGTCTGCCCTGAATCACCTCTGTACTGACAGAGGAAGGGGCTTCCTGGTACAGTGGGGCAGGGCTAGGTCATGAAGACTTCAGCCCACAAAATGGATGCCGTACTATGACTAGATGCTGCTGCCAGCCTGGGCTACGGAGCAAGATCCTGCCTCAAAAACCCAAAACCAGACAAGATAAGAGTACTGCCAGTGGCTGGGTGACAGATCTGGTAGGAGAAACTGTGCTCAGGCTTGGGCCCCAGGGTGTGGGTCCACAGCCCCATACGGGAAGGGCTAAGGGAGGTCGGACAAATGCTACCCCACCTTTGCTCAGCAGCTTCCATAGGACAGGGGAGGAGCTGAGGATGTGCCAGGTCAGACACCACACCTCATGTCTTAGGCCTCACCTAGGAGGAGAGAACACCCTGCAGCCCTCAGGCAAGGCCAGGCAACGGTAGGGAAGAAGTGCTGTGCTGGCTCCTGGGCTCCTGTCTCTCCACCCTGCACAATCATTTCTGACCTGGCAGGGCTCTGCCTCCACTACCTCATAGGCCTGAGCTGGACACAGGCTATATGGAGGCTCAAACACTCACTTTGTGACTCAGAAGCATACAGAGACTGCAGCTTCCCACGTGGGCACATGTGCGTGGCTCACAGGGAGTTCTGAGGGCTAAAAATAGCCTGGTTCTTCTTTCTGCTCTGTGGTGGAAGGAGGCATCATAGGGGAAATACCAGGAAGAATTGGGACAAGGACTTGTGGCCTCTGAGGGCCCTTGGAATTGAGAGATAGGTATTGAGGTAGCCAGTGAGCGCAGGCACCTCAGGGTGGCCAGCACAGGGTGGTACCATAGCCACTCTGAAACCCCTACATCCACAGCCCTGACTGGCCAGCAAAGGACATCTGCCCAGCACACCAGGTGCCAACAGTCAGGCTGGTCTATGGTAGGGCAGTGGGAGGAGCTGCAGCATACACATACGTGTGCCCCTGGAGCCATGAGAGTGAACAAATGCTCATGGATTGCTGGTGCCTATGATGGTGGTATGTTAAACTTTTGTTGTTTTGTGGTAATGGGGATCAAATCTAGAACCCATGCATGCTAGGCAAACACTCAACCACTGAGCTACATCTGCTGTTCCTATGGGTTTCCATTTTCTTCTCTATGGGCAAAGGCTGGGTTAGCATTTGTCTGACCCCCCTCCTTAGCCCTTCCCCTGTGGAGCTGTGGACCTTGCTATTTTAAGCTTTTGAAGTACCACAGAGCCACTAACAAAAACAGATCAGAGCAGGTGCTGATTACACCTGTAATCACAGTTACTAGAAGGCTGAAATCCAGAAGATCACAGTTACAAGGCCAGTCTGGGAATGGGTAGAGTTCACGAGACCCCATCTCAATAGAAAAAAGCTAGGCTTGGTGGCATGTGTCTGTCATCCCAGTGACAGTGGGAAATATAATTAAGAGGACTGCAGTCCAAGACAAAAAGCAAGACCCTATCTCCAAAATAACCACAGCAGAAAGGGCATAAAAGGTGTGGCTGAAGCCATGTTTTTTGTAAGGTAGAGCGTCTACCTTACAAACATGAAGCCCTGAGTTCAAACCCTAGTACCGCCTAAAACAAAAACCAAAAAATGAAAAACAGCCAGGAAAGCTGTGCAATTCTACTCAGGAACAGGATGAGCAGAAGCCTTTGCCTATCTCCACTTGTGCATACGCACACATGTGTACAACACAGTAAGGGACCAGCTACAAACAACAGACCATGACTGAAGCAGAGCAGAGCATGCTACCTGTAAAGAGAAGAGTCTACCTGCAGGAGAGGCCACAGTCCATGGTGAGCCAGTAAATCCTGAGAGCTGGGGAAAGGAAGGGGAGGACTTGTCTATGCAAATGGCTGTGAGCAAGCTGCACTGACAATGGAGGCCACCAAGCCCCTGCAGCATGGGACAAGCCTGTGCAGAGTGAGTTTTACTGCATGTAATGATACATCCATAAACCTGATAAAGAGATGACCTATGCAGCAAGAGGCTGTTTTTGTTAAGTGCATATGTAAATTTTATTATTTTTAAATTTGCAGTGCTGGGGATCGAACTCTGGGCCTGGTATATGCTAGGTAAGTGCTCCCCATGGAGCCTCACCTCTCCACAATATAAATTTTGAAAAATCTGAAAAAACAGCCAGGTGCCAGTGGCTCACGCCTTAATCCTAGCTACCTAGGAGGCAGAGATTTATCATTACAAAAAATGGCTAAGGCCCTGAGCTCAAGCCCCAGTACCGCAGAAAAAAAAAAATCTGAGATTCCAAAATTTTGACCACACTGGGATTGGGATTAGGAAGGATTCTTCTCATCTCCATTTGTACATACGCAACTTCCTGGCAAGATCCGCTCCTTTCTCCTGCAGAAGTGTTGCCCCCGTAGTGAACCACATGTCTATGGTATCCTTGAGGAGTTGTGACACGCACACTTGCAACAACAACACCCAGTGCCCCAATCCCATTTGCCCACCTGGGTTTGCTTTGTGGAGATGACAAGAGCACACACAAGCAGTCCTGGCCCTCACACTGCTGAGTGGAGCAGGGTATGGGGAAAGGCCACAGTGTTCATGCTTCTCCTGCTGACTACACTTGGGCTTCTGCCAGTGTGGGAACAATAAAGCTGCTGTGCATATATCCAGGTCAATGCTGGTGTGGACTGGCCTCCCATCCTCTTGGGTAAATGCCAAGGAAAGGATCAGTTGTGTGTGAGGTACTGTTTTTGGTTAAAAAGATAAAGTCCAAACCTACAAAATATCTGTGAAAAATGTGGTAAGGCACTGGTGACCCACGCCTGTGATCCTAGCTACTCAGGAGGCAGAGATAAGGAATATTGCGTTTTTGAAGTCAGCCCCAGGAAAACAGTTCAAAAGATCCTATCTCAAAAAAGTCCATCACAAAAAGAGCTGGCAGAGTGGCTCAAGCGGTAAGAGTACATGTCTAGCAAATGTGAGGTCCTGAGTTCAAATCCAGTGCCACCAAAGGTACGGGTGTGTGGGGTAAAGAGTTAATTTCACCAAAAAAACCAAGCAAGTAGCACTGAGTATGCCACAAGTCTTTCCTCCTCAGAAAATGATTCCAAGTCTAATTTTTAAAACACTGCTTAGTGTGTGATCCCAATCACATGTGAAGACAAAGCTGAACATCAACACCAAGAAGGGGGGCAATTTGCACACCCTATGTGGATCTACAAAGTGGTTCAGGTGCCTAGACATCACCTCATCCCTGTCTGGGGGATCTAGGCGCATGGGACCATGCACCATGCATGACAAAGGCCACCATCCTGAGAAGGAGCTGTTCCAGGAAGGCAGAGAGAGGACCACGTGAGTCAGGATTTTCAGTCTCAAAGCAAAAGATGTAATGCTATAGACACCAGGTGGACACTGGGTGCTTATGCCCTGCACTACCATGAGTACGTGTGTGTGTAATTGACCATATCCTGCACGACTGGAATCTGTCATAACGTACTAAAACAGCGCCATCCAAATTTCCAAGGAAAAGGAAAAAGAGAACAACGACAGCTCCGAGTTCAAACCCAGTACTGCCAAGGGGAAAATAAACAAACAAAAAAGAAAAAACCAGAAGTTGGGATTGAACTTGGTGCTTGGTTACCCTGTCTGTAACTACTGCCCCTGGATGGATGGGGCTTTACAAAGGCTGACAGGCAGGAATACTTCTCTGTCCTGTTAAGAACACAAAGCCAGGACCCTGCAGGAATGGGGGGCACTACTCTGGGAGTCCCCAGGACCCTGTGCTCACCGGATGATGTCTGTGTACTCTCGGTCCTTCCCCTTGCTCTCTTTCCACTTTCTGTACATCACTGAGGCGTCCACGTTGGCTGGTGAGAAGGTGTTGGGCTCGTTGAGCAGAGAGATCACACTTAGGAGGATGGTCCTGGGTGGGGTGGGGGCAGAGGGTCAAAGTGTGGGAAGCCATGGAATCCGTGCTTCTAGCTCTTTTGGGCCCAAGGTACAGAGACTTCTGGATCCGCGAAAGCACCCGACCTTGCAGGACTCCTGTCTGGACCTCTCACACCTTGGGAACGCCCCAGGGCAACAGGGGCTGGAGCAGGGAAGGGATACTCTCACCTCCGTGTGTCCCACCTGGGGTACACTTAGGGACATGGCAACCTGAGGAGCTCTCCCAAGCTGAGGTGAGGAAGAAGTGTGCTCCAAGGTGACGTAGCAGGGTAGCTCAAGGTTGCTCTAGATAATGGGGCTGGTCCAGGGTCTGGGTGCCCAGGTGGAAGACTGATTTGGGAAACACCACAGTGCATGGATTCTGAGGACACGTGCCACCCAGACCCACAACGTGGGAGCCTAGCCTCACCTGACATTCTGCGTGGGGTTCCACCGCTCCGAGGGCAGCTCTCCACTCTGGGGGTCATCAACTGGGGGATGGAGGATGGAGATGCATACATCCCCTGTCTGTGTGAAGAGGAGAGAGCACAGGTCAGTCCCAGCTCCTGGGCTCTCAATGCCAGTGTTCAACAAGGACACAAGGCCCAGGGAGCTGTGTGGGAGGCAGGAATGCACGAAGGCATGTACCTGTTGAGGCGGATGTGTAAGAAGGCATGCGTGTGGGAGGAAAACGTAAGGCAGATGCGCTGAGAGGCCTGTGTGTGCAAAGCAGGTATGCGGCTCACCTCGTAGATGTTTGGATGCCACATCTTGGTTAGGAACCGGAAGGCAGGTGGGGAGTACGGGTAGTCGATAGGGAACTTCAGACGGGCCTGAGAATAGCAAAAAGCAGGGTGGCTCAGCTGGAACCTAGACCTCCCACAGGACCCCATTTCACAGGCAAGGTGACTGAGGCTTATCATTCTTGGGATTCTGGTGTGTTGGCGGGAGGTGCCTGTGAGGGCCTAGGCAGGTATCAGGCCTGCTGCCCACACCCTTGATGACATGCTGCCTTGGGCCTTTTCAGAGGCATCAGAGATGATCTCAGCCCCTACATAGTAGAATGGGGGGAACTGGGTCAATCCCAGCACACCTGCAGGTGAGCAAGGGCACCTGCTGCCTGTGCAACTCTGAGCCCTGGGCAGCCCAGACCACAGGCACTCAGCAAGAGAGATGCCAGGAGGCAGGGACTGCAGGCTCCCCTAGAGGAACTGCCCTGGTGACCTCGACCTCAGGCATCTAGGCTAAGGTGAGTGTTTGCTTGGCCATCAGATAGGCAAGGAGGAAAGATGAGTCAGGAGAGCACTCTGCCCTAGAGACTCATTCCAGGTCAGTACCTCTCGTGAGCTGTCCAACCCAAGGGCAGCCACAAGGGGCAGATATAAGCCACGCACTGGGGTGTCAGAGCTGCTTGGCCTGGGGCCAAGGTGTGGTACCACCCACTGCCCTTCCAGCTCTTAGAAGGTAAATAAGGAAGCCCTGCTGGTGCTTCTAGCATCAAGGGGTGGAGGCAAGAGATCCCACAGACAGCCCCCAAGAGTCCTCCTTCTTGACAGGGAGGGCACAGGGTGAGGTAGGGGAACAGATGGAAACCTCTCTTGGAAAGTGAACATGCTGAGGCCCTAAAAGGCCAGGAACTTACCTTTGGCTACAGAGCCAGACAGGAACTTGGGTCTGAGAACCTGCTCATGGTTCCCCAAAACTTCAAGACACCCCAAGTCTAATACTGGGCTTCTGAGCTTGGATCCTGGAGCACAGCCAATTCAGGAGAACCAGTCTCACCTGTACCAAGTCCACTGTACCTCTCCTTTTAAACATCCCAGAGATGCCTTTTATGGTAGAGCAGGCTGAGGCTCAAGAGAAGTAAAGCCTCTTACTGGAAGATACACAACAGTGAGCATGGGAAGGGTCTTTCTGCTCCCTCAGTACAGGGCACTGTCTGGGGCCTGTCTTCTGCCTAGAATGCCTGCTAAGGCTCACAAAGAAGTGGGCAAGGCTGGGCTGCCTGAGAGGAAGCACTGTAGGAAGTGCTCAAAAAGCAGCCACCTCACAACTCCCATGTTTTACATTCTCTTCGCAAAAGAGTTTCTATGCCCCAGCCACCACACCCAAGACGGGAGGGCCCCACACTGCCCTCTGATGTTACCCACATCTGGCAGGCCCCCCCTCAGCCATCTCTACAAAGATGGGATTATCCCTCTAATGCCAGCCTAGGAGGCTCTACCCACAATCCCTTGTAGGGGGGCAGTAGCCAGAGACCTTCATTCTTTCAATCCAGATGGAAGCTTTGTCTGGAGTCCTGGCCTGGCCTCAAGGCGGGACTCAGTGGCCCTTGCTCTGAGCAGAGGCCTGTCTTCACAGCCACCTGCTCTCTAAAGCAGACAAAAGGAGCTGGGGGCGGGGAGGCTGCTTACACCATTTGGTGACCTCGGAAGCTTCTCAGCCCAGACTCTGTTACAGGGTGAGGAGAGAGGGAGGGATGGTCACATTGTGTCGTCCCCCCCATCCCACCTTATTCTATAATCTGGAACCCCAACTCTGGAATCTACCCCACCCCAAGAGGAGGAGGCTGGCTGCTGCTCTTGCAGCCACTGAACGTACGTTAAAACATCAGCCCAAGAGCAGACAGACATCTAGCCCCATCCCCAGTGTGGCCTAGCTGGGGTTTCTGTGCCAATTGTCCCCCACTTCGAATGCAGGGAGACCCCCTTGTCTCTTTGCTCCTAGCACAAGGTACTGAGACCTTGACAAAACTCCAAGGCCAAGGCTGGGCTCAGATGGGAAGGTTGAGAAAACTGTCCCGACTTTGGTTCATGTTCATTGTCACACCAGACAAAAACACAGCCAGACTGGGGACAGCCCTAATTTAAATTCCCTGCTCTCAACAGCAAAAACATCTGGCATTGTGCTTGGCCTTAAACCACCAGAGGGCAGAGGAAACTGCCTGAATGGCGACAATGGGGCCCAAGAAGCTGCCTACTTAGTGAAAGGATGACTGGAATGGGAGAGGCCTCAAAGCTTCTGCAGAAACTACTCAGGGGCCAGGACGCTGGCAGGGGCCAGGAGTGAGGCTCCTGGGAATCAGGGTGGACGTGGCGAGCCGGAGGAAACAGGTTACATATGTGAAGCCAAGGTGAGGTCCTGAGGCCTGGCCAGCTGCTATGGGCAAGAGTAGCCAATTTCCAAGCACATCTGGCTGCCAAGGCCCCATCCAGGCTTCTCCTGGAACCCGAGCCAAGTAGCCTGGTCAGTCACTCCCCCGCCCCTGCACTACCCTTCCCTTCCCATAGGTCCACACTTCCCAAAAGCAGCAGGTCGCTGGATCTGGGGGTGCCTCTTTGTCTCCTGGGGCGTGGGGGTGGGGCGGCTGGGGCAGCCTGGGGTGAACTCTCCCAAGGGTGAGGTCAGCAAGCACCCACGTCGAAACAAAATCAGGAGGCGCCCTAGACCTGCCTTGGAGGAACTGGAGACCATCAGCGACACCTAGGGAGACCATGGCAGCGACTAATTGCGAAGAAGGATCGGAGTAGGAGGAAGGGACCACGGCACAAAAGGGAAACTGAGCCGCTGGCTGGGGCCCGGCTCACCTTGAAGTAGCCGCCCTCGTAGTAGGTGTTGGGGGGCCCGAAGATGGCCACCTCCCAATTGTATAGGTCTCCTTCATCCACCAGCGTCACCCGGAAGCCTTCCACCGGCTCCTCCTGCAGCCCCTTAAGCTCCAGAAGCAGCGCCTTCTGCGAGCTGGGCACCAGCGGCCGGGCCATGGCGGCGGTGGAGGGACCCTGGGCTGGGGACCCGCCGGACCGCGGGACCGGCGCGAGTTCGTGGGACGGGCCGGGTAGCGCGTCAGCCGGGGGAGAGCCGCCGCCTTCCTCCTCTACGCTGCCACCGCCGCCGCCGCCACCCGGAGCCCCCGGTGGCTCCACTCGCTCTGGCGCTGCCGCCCGCCCGGCGCTCACCTCGGCCCGGCCCCCGCGCCCCGCCCCGAATGCGCCTGCGCACCGCCTCCGGGCCCCGAATGCGCCTGCGCGCCGCTGCCGAGCCCCCGAATGCGCCTGCGCGCCTCCGCCAGGCCCGGATCGCGCCTGCGCGCCCGCCCGCGGGGCACGCCGGGAAGCGGAGTCCCCCCTCCCCGCCCCGCCGCGCAGGCGCCTCGCGCTTCCGGTCCCCGGAGGCTGCCACTGCCCCCGCCTGGACGAGCTCCGCCGACGCCTGTATGCGGGGAGGCGGGCAGGGCTAGGCTGCGCTGTCTGGCTATGGCCGCCTCTGCTTTGTGGGCTTTTTTTTGTGACGTCTAGGAGCGGGGTGGGGCCGTGGGCGGGGGAGTGGGGCGGGGTTCCAGCTCGGGCGGGGCCGCGGGACTGGGTCCAAAGGGTGCAGCCCAGCCTAGGTTTTACCTGTTAAGGGGAAAGACGGGTCTCTTCTCAGGTCGCCTTGTGCCAGCGGAAAGGGAGGATGCGTCGAAAGTCGGGAAGCTGGGAGATAGTCGGGACCTGAAATCCCGGCTTCCTGAAGGCCTCAGTTTCCTATAGAACGGGGGCCAAGAGCAGAGTTAGGGTCAAGGGCGAAAATGACAGAAATTGATTCACCTCCCAATTTAACATCCATTCGACAGTACTGATTCTGCACTTGACCCGGTCACGGCATTACCATGAAGGAGCCTGAACTTCTACTCCACCCCCCACACACCCAAATGTAGCCTGAACCCTAACTCTGGGGTACCTGTATATCAGGCTGACCTTTGACCCCACCTGAGTCCCACATAAGCAGACCAGAATGCAATGGAGGTGTACTGGGGAACAGTGTTACAGAAGAGGGAACCGGCATGCGAAGGCCCTGAGGTGGGGACAGGCTGGCCTAGTTAGATTTATGATGAGCCCTGAACCTGAGCTTCACTGGACCTTGCCGGAGCTCTGGCCTGTAAGTCTAAGCCCAGACACATACTCCTTGCTTGGACACTTGGTCATGAATGTTGTGGTTGGTGATGGTGATGGCAAGCTTAGCTGAGCGCAGGAGAGTGGGCATGGTTCTGGTTCCTGTGGCCTGGCCCTCAGGCTGTGCCTGTGGCCCCATCAGTCCTGGTCAGTGGCAGCTGCCAGGACTATTGGAAACTGAGGCCTTCAGAAAGACAGGATTTCAGGCCCCGACCATCTCCCAGCCTTCTGACTCTCGGCGCATCCTCCCTTTCCACTGGCACAGGGTGACCCAAGAGGAGACCCGTCTTTCCCCTTCACAGGTGAAATAGAGGCTGGGTTACAGCCTTTGGGCATGGTCCAGTGGCCCCACCCTGCTCCAGCCCTCAGGCTGGGTGGAGGACGGCTTCTTTTCACAGATGAACCAGCAACCAGCCCCTGGCCTCCTGATGCTGGTATCCCTGCTGGGGACAGGCAGGTAAACCTGTCTGGAGTCAGGAAAACAACATCAAAGGTGGCACTGGTCAGGGCAGTCTAGGAAAGATCTCTGGGCCCAGTGACTGCTTCACGTGCTGCCCAGGGCTGGGCCTTGGCTCTCTTCCCCTGTGAAGGGCTCTGTCTTCCTCTTAGGCATTTCTGCTCAGTGCCCTGGGCACTCGTGTTAGCTGTCTGGCAGTGGTGGTATGCCCTTCCTGAGTCAGATTGAAACAGCAATGAACCAAGAACAGCCTCTGTCCAAGTCTCCTCCCCTCCTCACCCCATTCTGCCCCCAACCCCCACCTCCCCAGGCCACAGGGAGATCTGGTGCAAGCAAGAGTATAAATAAATCTTTTCTGGCAATGATAATTCCTGTGAAGAAAAACAAAGTAGGTCAGGGGTCAGAAAGCGTGAGGCATCATCTCTCAGGAGGTGACATTTGAACCAACCAGACTAGAGTGAAATGAGGCATGTGGGTCTGAGGAACAATGCTACAAGGGAGAGGGCAAAGTCCCTGAGGTAGGGAAAACTGGGCTACCCAAAGGCCAGTGTGCCTGGGGCAGAATGAGGGAGAGAACAGAGGCAAAAAAAAAAAAAGCTGTGAGGTTTCTCAGCTCAGCTTCCTAAGTGTTAACTTTGTTCACAGACCTTGTGGTATAGACAAGATGGCTGCAGAATCCAGCCCAGGGCCTCCCAGCCTAGCATCCTAGCACTGTTCCCAGGGTCCCAGGGATGCATCTCATTGGACAATGGGGTCACATGCCTATCACCAAGGCCATAGCTGGACCGCTGTGGGTCCATGGAGAAGGGGAGGGGCAAGTGGGATGAGGTAGAACCACCAGTGTGCAGCCAAGCTGGCCCTTTACTGGGGGGTTGGGAGGCATCCAGGCTTCTGCTTAGTGCCTGGGGAGAGTTGGGAGGAGCTTCCCCAGGGATGGAAACTCCAGAGTCCCAGGTGTCAGAGCACTACCTGGAGGAGCTGGGACTCCCCATGGAATGACCCAGGGGGTGTTTGGCTTTTTCCACTGGAGAAAGGATCAGGATCTGGGCTGCCTGTGAACTTAAGAATCCTTGGCCACCAGATAGTAACTGAAGCTCAGGCTGGTGAGTGCCAAGCCAGAAGGATTGAGGATAGGAGAGGACCCTGGGGCAGGATGTGAGAATGTGGGTATTAGAGGAGCAAGGTTGCAGTGCACAACACTACTGTCAGGCCAGGCCAGTCCAGGGAGGCCAGGTCAGCTCCCTGGTTGAGCAGCAAGGCCTACACCAGCATCTTGATGCATCGGTACCTCTGAACCCCAGACCAGGCATGATAGATGGGAGGTTCAGGGTTGGTGCTCTCTGGGATGCCCCAGGGTAGCTGGGTGGGCAGGGAAGTGGGCTCTTTCAGTCACTCTACTTGCAGGGTGGCCTCTACCCAAGGAGAGTGGTGCCCTGAGCCCTGCCTCATGTCTTGGTTTCCAGGGCAGCTCACATTGAAAGGCACCCTTGCCCACCTTGCTTTCAGCTCAGCCCACCAGTTGCTCTGCCACCAACATGTCTAAAGAGCTTAGTGTGTGGGTTGGTAACAGACCCCTGTGCAGTGAGCACCTTCCTTAATACTCCAGTGACTGAAACACACAACCAATTGCTTCCAAGGCTCTATCTCTCATCTGTCTCGAGTAGGGAGTGGGAATGGTATTCCACTGGGGCCATTTTGGAAAACAGGCATCTGCCATGATTCAGCCAGTGCTCATTCATCTGTCACCCACCCAAAGCCCAGCTCAGCTGGGAAATGGGGATACCTGGCGTTCCTGCCAACTGGGAGATTGTGGAAATTTAAAAACCCTGCCTGTCCCCCAGGATCTCTCTCAGCCAGCTGGGGCTGTCAGGAGTCCCACTTAGCAAGAGACAGATCCAGGGTGGGAGGTGCCACGCAATGGAATCTCTGGCACTGGGGATCTGATTCCCAGTCCATCCTGTTTAGCACCTTATTCCAGGTGTGAGGGGGATGCAGGTGCTTCCCCCTCACAAGTGCAGGAGAAGTTACTGAGGAAGGGAACTTCTCTGGACTTCAGTTTCTCCACCTGGCAGTAATTTACCTCCTGTTAGGGTAGTGGTGGAGAGGAAGGCTCCAAAGTATTCCAGCTGCTGTTTGTCATGGGTGTGGCTGCACCTACCCAGCTGCCCTCTTCCTTTGTCACCTGGGGGAAAACAAGGCCCAGGAAGGAGTTAAGGGGCAGGCAGGGCTGGGGGAGGAAGCCCTGTACCCCAGTACCCCAGAAGAGCTGGCAGAGCTGGCCGGGTGTCCAGGTTGTTGTGCAGGACCAGCCTGGGCAGCCGCAGGTAGAGAGGCGGTTTTCGCAGACAGGGTGCAGGCAGGGCGCGCACGCGCGCGCGCACACACACACACACACGCAGTCGCAGGTACAGGCAGGGCACAAACACACACACACACACGCAGCCGCAGGTACAGGCAGGGCGCACACACACACACACACACACACACACAGCCGCAGGTAGAGGCAGGGCAGGTAGAGAAGCGGTTTTCGCAGACAGGGTGCAGGCAGGGCGCGCGCGCGCACACACACACGCCAAGAGCAGCCTCCATATACATTTTATTTCTGCCGAAAGGCGGTGGAGTTACACGTGGAAGGAGCCATGTCTTGCTGGGCTGTCCAGGTCCCAGTCTGAGAGGGGAGAACCCTACGTACATGCGGGGACACCCCAGTCCAGGATCTGTGTGGATCCGGGAGCAGCCGCCGGGTGTGTGGGTGGGAAGGAGGGCAGGGGCGGGCTCAGCACACAGGCTTGACCTTAGCAATGAAGAGGGCAGCAGCCTTCTCCAGGAACTCCTGCCGGGCCATGGGCGAGCTGGGCCGCCGCCCGCCCGCCGCACGGTCCAAGGCTTGCGCCAGGCTGTCCGGCCCCAAGCGCGAGCCGGCCTCTAGGTAGCGCGCGGGCGCGGCGGCGCGGTCGCCGGTGCCCAGGGCCCCCTCTAGAGTGTCCAGCACGGCTTGGCCCACACGGCGGTCAGCCACGGCAAGGCCCGGGTCCTCCAGCAGCTGGAAGAGGGCGCTGGCCCGCGCTACGAACTCCAGCAGCACGAAGCAGGTGAGCATGCCGGCTCGGAAGATGTCCAGTGGCACCGCTTCATGGTCGCGGCACTGGATCTTACGCAACAGGGGCGCCACGACTTCTTCCGGGGCCCCACCGTCCCTGCATATGCGCTTCAGCAGCTCGCTGTACGTGCGTCCGTCCAGCCCAGGTTTCTTCTTGCGCCCGCTGGCACTTAGGCACTCATAAGCCACGCTGACGTTGTTATTGAAGGCTGTCCTGTGGATGGGAGGACAAGGTGTTGAGGAAGTGTGGGGAGCCAGGCAACTGCCCACGCGCCCTCCTGCTGTGTTCCTCCAAGCCTCAGGGCTTTTGCATCACTGCGCTCTCTTCCTGATGGTGTTCCCAGATCTGCCCACTGCACCTCCCTCCTGCTCCAGGCCTTGGCTCCAATGTCACCTCCTCCATCCTCTGCTTTTCTTGCCTGACTCATTGTACATTGCCTCCCAGAGCATCAGCCTGGAGGGCTGAATGTTGGCCACTGCTTTACAACCCAGAACACAGATATACACTGGATGCTCACTAAGTGTCTGCTGAAGCAACCAGCAGGCATCCTGTCCAGGCATATGCCCAGCCACCTCCAGAGCCTCCCCAGCAGCAAGGCCTGGAGGTAAGGCTGGCTCCCACTGCTGGCCAAGTTTAAGCACCAAGTATTAGTCTTCATCCCACCATCCTATAGCAACCATGCCAGGGGCCACACTATGCAGCAGTCTGTTTCTGTAAAGTTCTTTTTTGAGACAGGAGCTCACCATTATAGTTCACATGGCCTGGAACTCACGATCTTTCTGCCTCAGACTCCCAAATGCTGGGATTACAGGTGTGACCATCACACCAGACTTGTAAGTAAAGTTTTACTGGGACACCAGCTTGTCAATCCTGACCTGGGCCTGCAGCTGCACCATGCTCCCAGCTGAGATTGCAGAGATTGGTTCAAAACTGATAACATTCACTACAAGGCCCTTCATAGAACATGTGTCGGCTGGGCACTGGTGGCTTGTGTTTATAATCCTAGCTACTCAGAGATCAGGAGAATCGAGGTTTGAAGCCAGCCTGGTCAAATAATTTAGAAGACCCTATCTCAAAAAAAAAAAAAATCACAAAAAGGGCTGGTAGAGTGGCTCAAGATGTAGGCCCTGAGTTCAAACTCCAGTACGCCCCTCCCCACCAAACAACAAAGCAAAAAACCAAAAAATATGGATCAGCCCTGCTGCCAGCTCTGGGTATCAGTGATCCTGAGTTCAAACTCCAGTACGCCCCTCCCCACCAAACAACAAAGCAAAAAACCAAAAAATATGGATCAGCCCTGCTGCCAGCTCTGGGTATCAGTGATCCTCAACCTGACTGCCAGCCTGTGTTATGTGTGTGCTGATGGCTTGTGGTGGTTAGTATATGGGCTGCTATGACATATAGGAAACTGAGGCTCTGAGCAGGCCAATGATCCCAGACAGAAAGTGGCCAACCCCAGGGCCTATGTTTGTCTTTTCTGGTCTCAGCTCCACAGTGACGGGGGCTGATTTATGTCATACTGCACCTGACTTTGTGTGACCACAGCATGCTGTGTCACCTTCTACAGGCTGGTGTGAAGTAAGTGCTCAGTAAACATGGGCCATAGCTGCTGCTCAGGTCAAGGTTAGGGATGGACATGCTGTCCAGAAGTCATGGACTGAAGCCTGTTAGAGAGGCACAGACTGAGGCTGGAGGAGGGAGGTCCCTGCCAAGATCTTTCTTTGCAGATCTGGTTCTCTGCCCATCTGGCTGTAAACTTTTCTTCCTGTTTACTGGCCTGCCATCTGCTGGCACCATGCCAGGAGCCTTGGGCCAGTGAGCTCTTCCTGTGGAGCCAGATGTGGTATCAGTGCTCAGTAAATGCTGGCTCTGTGATCCACATCAGCACCTGGTGCCCCTCACAAGTCCTTGTGGGGCTGGGGTTATCAGCTCCCCTCATCAAAAAGAGGATTCTTGGGGAGATCTGGTATGGACTAGCAACAATCCATCTCCTTGTTGGGGATCTGTTGCTACATGGCAAGTCACCCTCAAACCTGGCAGCCTGGAAACAATGGCAAACATTTATTATGTTGCACAGCTTCTACACTGGGACTTGGCAGTGACTCAGCCTTGTGGTCCTGGCTCTGGGTCTCTCATAAGGCTGCAGTCAATACCTTCCACCCCAAGTCTCAATTTTTGGGTGCTCTTGCCCTCCGGCAGGTCATGTGGATCCTGCAGGAGGTGTTGGCTCCTCATTTGTGAACTCTCAGGGCTGCTGAGTGTCCTCACATGGCTGATTGAGCAATGTAGCAGAACCAGGCAAACACCAGTCTTTTGCGTCTATCATTGGACATCATCCTCCCCTCCTGCACTTCCCCGATGTGCAGGTGACTCTCTTGATGCCAGAGGGCTGTGCTGTACCACGCCAGGTGGTATACACCCCAGGCAATGTGGAATCCCTGGACAGTCAGTGCTGTCCAACCAACCTTCCCAGATCTTCCTCCCACACTTCCCTTGAGGTCAGGCTGAGTCACATGACTTGCTGTGGCCATTGCCGTGAGTGACATGGTTCACTTTTGGTAGGACTCAGGGGTCATTATTCCCCAGGGTCCACTTCCCAATGCATGACCATACAAGCTCAAATGGAAATTGAGTAGCAGAGATTTGGTTGTGTTAAAGCTACTGGGACGGTTTACTACAACAGTGAGACATAGCTCCTCCTGACTGACGTGTCTATGGTCCAAGATCCACGCAGCTCTATGCCCTATTTCCCTCTGCCAGGCCATCTGCCCTCTGTCTGCCCACCAACTCTTGTACTGAGTCTAACTTCTCTGGAGGTGGCATCCAGGGGGCAAAACCTGGCCCATGCTTGGCTCCCTGAACATTCATTGGGTACTATTGGCATGAAGACTCTGAACTGGTCCAGACCTGCCTTCCAGGGTTCCTCTGACTTGGCAAGTCACTGCCTCTTTCCTCACCTGGAGAATGTGGATCTGATCCCTGCATCTCGGGATTCTTTTGAGGATGGAACAGAACTCGGGAGACCAAGATGGTGCTGGCAGAGTGGGAGGGGCCCCACCCACACTGCCCTCTGCTGCAGCTCAGGCCACACTCCTAGCCCCGAGGGCAGGAAGACACACAGGAGGAGTAATTACAGCTCTGTGACAGCAGAGTGATGAAGGATGGGCAAGAAGGTATTGAGCAGAAACACCCACCTGCCAAGCTGCCTCACATCTGCTCCTGAGGGATCTGGGGCTGAATCACCAACAGGTGACAGGTGGGCACAGCCAAGCCAGCAAGCTCCTAAATTGGATGGACCTGGGTCTTAGGTGCTTCTTAGTTCTGCTGTGTGACCTAGGCCCAGCCTTGGTTCTGTGTGCAGAATGAGGAGAGGGCACTCAGCCAGAGCACTGTGCAAAGCATGTGAGCATTTGATTTAAAAAAAAAAAAAGACTATTTACAGAATGTCTCCACAAAGAGCCTTTGACCAGTGTCTCTCAATGGGAGGAACACTGGCAGTGTCTGGGAATATTTGTGGTCATAATGACAGGGGGAGCTCTTGCTGGTATGGAGTGGGTAGAGGTCAGGGACACTGCTCACACAAAGTTGCCCAGGATTCCCACCCAGAGCATAGTCCACAGCTGAGGGACCCTGGACTAGCCTGGCCACTTCTTTGTGTTTTTCCAGCAGTGACCTGCTTGGGACAGTACACAGTTAGCGTCCCTCTTGCTGCCACTGTTAGCAAAGAAGTGGTCAAGGAGGCCACAGGGATGTGTTCTCTGGGTTTGACTCCTGGCTGTGCCATGTGGTGGCTTTTTGACATCACTTCCTTTATGCTCTTGGGGCTTTGCAAGAAGCCCCAAGGGAAGTGGTCAATGGGGATGCTGCAGCCACTCTTACCAGCCCTGGTGGCCAGTGCTTTGCGTTTCTCTGGAGATTCTTACAGAGGACCATGGGTAACTTCTCCCAGATCTGATGCTGGTATCTCCCACTTGGCCCCAGGACAGCCAAGTCAGCCACTCAGCACTCAGGGACAATGTACCAAACCTAGTAGGGGTGAAGCTGTGTAGACTTCTGTTTTTGGCCTGCCCATCAGGTGAAGGTAAGGGGCTCCTGACTGTCCCAGGGAGGACAGGACAGGCTTGGCTCTGTGAGCACATTAGATACCAATGAGGCTTGTGAGCTTGTTGTCTACATTTCCACTGGTTGTGTCTCTGGGGAGACCACGTGGACCCAGAACCTGGTACATCCTCCATCAGCACCCCACTTGCCTACTGGCACCTCCCAGGGTCCCTGCAGTTTTTTCTTTTTTCCCTTGTGGTACTAGGGATTGAACCCAGCGCCTTGAGCATTCTAGGTAAGTGCTACACCACCTAAGCGACACTCCCCTGTTGTTTTGAGCTACCTCCAGACAATGGTGCATTGCTCCTGTTCCGGGTGAGTAGTGACCTGAAGTTCATGTCCACCCAGAACCTCAGAATGCAGCCTTACTTGAACACAATGGCTTTTACAGGTATAACTGGTTAAGAAGGGGCTGTGCTGGAGTAGGCTCCTATAGATGCAATGACTGGCATGCTTAGAAGGACAGAAAAACAGGCCGAGTGGGAAGGGACACGGAGATGGGGAAATGTGGCCACAAGCCAAGGGACACCAAGGACTGCCAGCAACCAGCAGATCTATAGAGGCAGAAGAATCTTTCCCTAGAGCCTCTTGAGGGAATGTGGTCCTGGTAACAACTTGATTTCAGATTTATGGCCTTCTCTATGGTGAGAGAGTAAACATCTATTGTTTTAAGTCACTAAGTTTGCAGCTCCAGGAGATTAATAAAAACATCTCTACCTGTGATGTTTATGGGGCAAGTCCTTGTGCAGTGCTCAACGTGAACTATCACACACGGCAGCACTGCCACCGAGCACTTTTCCTTCTTGGAAGATTCACTTCTGGATGTCCCAGGGAGCTGCTGCTTTCTTCGTTTCCAGTCCTGCCTTCCCTTCCTTCCCTGTGGGCTCTCCAAGGCTGGGGCTCCTTAGAGGGTAGTCCTGAACTCTGCTCTTCTCTCTGGAAACCTCATGGCTCCTCTCAGTTCACACCCTCTTGTCCCTGTGTTGTCTCAGTAGCAAACACCACCACCCCCCCCACCTTCCTACTGTGGGACATTTGCCAAGCAACTCACCAAGAGATTGCAACTTCATTCAGATCATCGGGCTTCCATAGGACCTGTCATTGTGCGTGCTGCCCACCCCCAGCAGGTCCATCAGCTCAGCTCTCAAAGACACTGGTTTGTTCTAGCTTCCCACTGACCAGCTCCTCCTTCCATGCTCTATGCTTCCCTACCCAACTGTCATCTTAGGACCCCACAGGGTGGAGATGTCTGTCCTGCCTGGCTCCCTCCCAATTCTCTGGCAGAGTGGAGAGGGTGGAGGTTAGAGGAGGGGGGGAGGGTAAATGGAGGGTAGGGTGGGGGCTAGAATCATCAGTTTACAACTCCTGGACTTCAGCTCCCATGGGAATTGGCTGAAGCCACCTCTGCTTGTCAGGCTTCCAGCCCTGCTCCTCTCACTGCCTTCTGGGTTCCTCTTGGGTACACACCTTGTAAAATTACATCCATGTAAATGCTTGCCAGGCTCTGCTTCTGGGTACCCCTAGACCCAAGCCCATATACCTCCTTGTCAGTCACCCTCTAGCTCACAACTCAATGTCCCTCCATCCACTGTGCACCGGACATGATCCCTCAGCCAACTTCATGGTGCAGAACTGTCCCTGTTCTGTCTCTAGGCCTCCCCTTGGGGCGGGAAGAGACTCCTCACCAGACTCTAGATTAGCTTCAGGCAGTGCACCCTGAGAGCCTTTCCAGGACCCATCTGCTAGCGGTGCCCGGCCCTGCAGCCATCCATGCTTTGGATGCACGGACAGAAACTTGTTACTTCGGGCTCCTTGACTTCCAAAACCATAGGCGGAAGAGGAAACTGGGCACACGTATAAAGGCGACACTGAGGGCACACTTGCTGCTACCCGCCCGGGCACCAAGAGGTACGCAGACTACAACCCCCAGCACACCCTGCGCCAGGACCACAACTCCCAGAAAACCCCGCGCCGGCAGGGGGCGGGCCCGTGTAGGGTACACCTGGAGCTGTGGTCCGGCCGCCCCTCCCGCCGCCAGCCCGCACCTCTGCGAGTGGTGAGCCAGGCGAAGGTGCCACAGCGCACGGCCCAGGCGCTGCTGCTGCAGAAGGAACTGCCCCGGGGGTTCTCCGGCTCCGCCGTTGGCCGGCGAGCGCAGGCCCATGTTCTCGAAGTAGTGCGCCAGGAAGGCGATGGGTTCCTCGGGTCGCGCCTCCAGCACCTTCAGCAGGGCCGCGCGCAGCATCTCCGTCACGCCAACCTGCCGCAGGAAGTCCTCCTCGCTCTCGGCCGCCGTCGCCCCCCGGGACATCGAGACCCGGCCGTTGTCCGTGAAATTGGCTGCCGGAGCCGCAGCCGGTGCCACCGCCTGCCGCCGCTTCTCCACTGCCGCCATCTTCGCTGAGGGCACCAGGACCGGAAGAGCCGCCATATTTCATCACGCACTGAGGCCCTCTGAACGGCCATTTTGATTAAGGGCACAGGGCTTCCGGACTCCATTGGAAGACCCTTGAAAATAATAGAAGCTGACCACTCTTTGTCTAGGCCTTAATTGATACTTTGCATTTGTTTCTTTGCCTGTAATGACTGGATCTTGCGTCCATTCGGAGCGTTGACATTTTTGCCAGACTCCAAAATGGCTCCATAGGAAAAGCATGATTTCTGGAATGAAGCTGAATTGCTTGCCATCTTGGTAGTGGGCGAGTCCTCATTAGCATGGTCTCTTAGCAACTAGGCTCCCTGGGTACCAAAGAAGCTCCACTGAGCAAGTAGGGGATGGACCTATCTGGACTTAAGGATTGATGCCGCCACCTCAAAACTCTTTTAAAATATGTTTTTCTTCCCTCCTTTTACTTTTTCGTTTTTTTTTCTTTTTTTGGTGTGACTGGAGTTTGAACTCAGGGCTTCACATTTGTAAAGCAAGTGCTGTACCACTTGAGCCACGCTTCCAGCCCAATTTACTATGGTTATTTTGGAGTTAGGAGTCTGTTTGCCCAGGTTGGCGTTGAGCCTCATCCTCCAGATCTCAGCCTCACAAGTAGCTGGGTTTAGATATTGAGCCACCGGTGCCTGGCCTCCCTTTTTCTTTTAAAATTTTATTTTATTTTTGAATTAGAATACATTAATATGAGGGGTTTTCATTGCTACACTTCTATACTCTTTTCTTTCTTTGGTGATTCTGTGTGTTGAGCTCAGGGCCTCACACTTGCTAGGCAGTTGCTCTACCACTCGAGCCACACTCCTAGCCTTTTTTGCTTTGGTTATTTTCAGGATAGGTCTGGCGTTTTTGCCTCAGCCAGCCTGGACAATGATTCTCCTATTTATGCTTCCCCTGTAGCTGAGATAATAGGCATGTACCACAATCCCCACCTATTGGTTGAGATGGGGTCTTGGTAACTTTTGCACAGACTGGCCTTGAATTCCGATCCTCCCCATCTTTGCCTCTCGGGTAGTTAGTATTACAGGCCTGAATCACTGTGCCCGACCTTTCTTTTTCTTTCTTCCTCCTTCCCTCCTTGGGTCTTGCTATCTAGCTTATACTTTAAACTTGCTATGTAACCCAAACTGGCCTTGAACTCATGATCCTCTTGTTTTAGTCTCCCCAGTTTTGGGATTACAATCGTCTACAACACCTGGTACTTCTCCCTTTTCTGATTTTGTAGGAGGCTTTGAGTTTGGGCTGAGGTTAGCCAGGTCTTCAGCCTCACCCCATCTCCATTTGAGTGTATTGTGTGTCTCCTGAGGGGACCTCCCTAGCTCCCCCAGCCGGATTGGGGCTGACTCTGACCCTACTTGTTTCCACCCAGCCCACCACAAGACAGCAGTCTGTGTTCCTATTGTGTGTCCCAGGCCGTGGGGTATTCTACCATGGCTGCTAAACCTCTGAACTCCCATGACTTCCCCAGTAGCCTCATGCGCAAGTCTCTCCTCTCCTGTCCAGAAACTCTTGCCTTTCATGAGGTGACCTCATTTCCAACTGCTTCCACCCCCATCCCTGGCCATTTTCCCTCAATAAGCCACTTCTCTGCCCAGGCTATTCCCTCACCAAATTTTCCCCCATTTCTTTGGGGACCCCTAATTATTTGTTAAGCACCAGTGACCCCTCACCTAGAAACGTGCATAAGGCACAGTAGTTCCCCCTGCCCAGCATCCTCTTGCTTCCTCTGCCCAGTCCTGCCAATAGGGGTTGGGGTGTGTGTGTGCCTGTCCCTGAGGGCCACCCCATAGGGGCATGATGAGAGATACGCAGGGGTTCCAGTATTCTCCCAACACATGGATTTTATTCTCCAGTCCTAGTGGCAGGTGGATATGCTTGCAAGACTGGCCCAGCCGTCTTGCAGACATGTTGATCACCAGGGAAGGGGCCCATGATCAGTCTTCTCGCTGTCTAGAGCCCTGCAGCTGGGTGCAGGGAGAGGTGGCCTGCTTGTTCCCTTTAGTCCGTCAAAGGCAGCAGCCGCAGAGGAGTAGGCAGGTGAGTATGGTCCTCGGCTGATGGCCTCCAGCGTTTCCACAGGGAATAGGTGAGGAGTGCCAGCAGGAGCAGCCCCAGCACCAAGCTGCCCATCCATAGGGCAGCGGTTGGCTGGACAACCTCAGGGCTAGATGCTAGAAGAGCAGGAATAGGGGAAGTCAGGAGCCCTGGCTGCCTCTGCAGCCCACATGATGCTTCCAAATTCACCCTGGCCCCTGACTTCAGTGAACTTTTGGAAATTTACATAGGGCTTTACAGTTTAGAAGTGAGCTGCCCATTGAGGTGGCTGCTGTCCTCTCCTCCATGTGAAATGCAGCTGCCCTGCACAAGCCTGTTTTGTCTCAAAGCCACAGTGTGGAAAACTCAGAATATATTGAAAAGAATGTGAAGTATCAGATTTTTACTTGTTTTGAAATAGGGTCTCCTTATGCAGCCCAGGCTGGCCTTGAATTTGTGATCCTCCTGCCTTAGCCTCCTGAGTGCTAGGATTACACCCAGCTTATTCTTGCCTTTGAATTTTTATTGCTTATGTGTCTGCATTCTATTTCTACATCAGGTCCCTGGAACCCACAAAGGACCTCCGGCCAGGAAAGCCTGTCAGACAGATGGAGGAAACTGAGACTGGGCAGGGAATAGCAATTTCTTGTCTTAACATTCTGATATGGCCTGGGGGCATGGATCAAGAGGTAGCGTGCCTCCCTAGTGCAAGCGTAAGGCCGTGAGTTCAAACCCCAGTATTGCCAATGACAAAAAAGTTCTGATCTGGGAAGTCCATCTCTCCCAGCCCGTCCCCAGCACCAGCACTTACAGGTTTTCAGGAACACCTGGCCAGGCACATACAGGCTGGCTACCTGGCCGCCCGGGTCCAGGCGACACTGGAACCAGCCCTCAGGGATTAAACCATCTGGTGGCACACTGAGCCATGCCTGGGCCCCAGCCTCCCTCCTTTCATAGGCTTCCAGGCCCCCAGGAGCCAGGGTCCAGCGCACAGCCATGCCAGGGCCACAGGGCGCCTCACACAGTAGCTCCCAGCCAGTTTCTTTCTCTGCTGGCCCCGGTGCCTGGTGTATCTCAGGGTGGCAAGTCCCAGAGGTGCTGAGAATTCTGGGGTTGTGTGTGGAGCTCTGCTGCATGGTGGCCAGTAGGGAGGTGGTGTTGGGAGGCTCTGTGGAGATGGCATTCAGGGTGTCTGGTGAAGTCATGTTGGGAGGCTCCATGGAGACAGCATCAGGTGACTCCATGGAGATGGCATTTGGGGTGTCTGGTGAAGTCACGTTGGGAGGCTTTGGTGATGTCTGGCTGTGCAGGACTGGAAACAGAGTGGCCATTTTTCCTTCCTGCTAGCCTAGGCCCCTCTTCTGCCTCAGTTTCCTCATCTAGAGCCCAGGGTTGGGTTAGAATACCTCCAAGCCCCCTCCCTGGACCACTCTGGCAATGCAGGGTATGACTGGGCTGCTATCCTGGCTCCCACTCACTTTCTCTGCTACTCAGGACAGATTCCCATGTCAACAAAGCCAAGGGTGTGTGGGGGGATGGGATGGGGGAAGAGAGAATGGAAAAAAATAGAACCCGGAGCAGCACAGGGTAGGTGCTCAGTAAATATATGTTTAGTTAATGAATATCGCTCTGGCTGCCATGGGTGAACAGACTACCCAGGTTACCCAGCTACCCCTTGGCACTGTGACCAGTTCCAACTAGGACACACAAGTGGGGGTAGCCACTCTTTGAGATCTACTGGATCTCAGAGGTGGCCGGGATCCAGCAAGCTCACCTGGAAGGGCCCGGTAGTGGCTCATCTCCAGGCCGGGCAGCCTCATGGTGGCCTGGCAGAAGAGGACAGGGGGAGCAGGGGACCCCAGGGCCGGTAGCAGCCAGCGCTTTGTTACTTGGAACAGTGGGTCCTCCACCTCCTGGGGCTCCTCCTCCTCCTTCCGGCCCAGAACCTGGACACCCTCCAGTTCCTGGTCCCCTAGGAGCAGGGTGAAGGACAGGGTGTCCTGGCCTGCAGGTGTGACATTATGGGCTGTGCAAGACACTTCTTGGTCCTGTCCAAGCACCAGGGCCGTTGGGGACACAACCAGCTGGTCCGGGAAGGCTGAGGAATGAGGTTGGGGTCCAGGGATGAGCTCAGAGCTCAAGTTTGGACCTGACAGAGGGGGCTGGGGCCAGAGTGAGGAAGTTGTGCCCCAGGCAGATGATGCACAGCTGTGTGTCCTGGGTGGCAGGGGCTGGGAAGGGTTGGCCTTGCAGGTCTGAGTTAGACTGGGGACATCAAAGCCTGGAGACCTAATGGGGAGATAGGTGCTGGGGCAGTGAACAGTCTGAAGGCTCCCAGGGTGGGTGGCACAGGGAAGGGCAGAGCAGGACAAGGATCCAACAAGGTCTCACCATACACGAGGATCTGCACAGAGTGCTGGAAGTTGTGGCGGCCCCCACAGGAGCCCACACACACTCTCGTGCCTGTGTCTGACAGTGCAGCTTGGTGTATGGAGAGTACGCTGTTGCCCGCGCTGGACTGCACAGCACCCAGTCTGGTGTCCAGTCCTCGCCACTGTACTGTAGCCACCTCACCATCCTTGCAAGACAGGCTGCAGGTGAGCTGGCACGATCCACCCATGGCCACAACCACCACAGGCTTGGTGGGCTCCACAAGGGGGACCTGAGGGGATATGGTGCTCAGCCCTGCACAGAGGTGGACTCAGCCCTGGCTCTGGACCTAGTGTCCCTCTGCCGCCTTGGTCAGAGGGCAAGCTAGAGCCCCCACCCTTCCCTCAGCTCAGCCCCCAGAACCCTCTCCTTAAGGGTCTCAAGTGCAGTCTCTAGCTTCCCTGAATCCCTACCCGGGACCCCCTCCTAGTTCCTCAGGTCCCTCCTTCCTCAACCCTCTCATCTCTTCTGAGCCCCCTCCTTTCCCATCTTTCCTCTTCCGAGCCTCTCCTTCCCAGGCACCCTTGCTTACCGCGACCTGGCGGGAGGAGCCCCAGGCCAGCACCAGCAGAGGGCCAGACCCTGCCCCATGCTTGTTCTCTCTGTGCTGCTGCTGGGGTGGGAAGCAGTTATAATAGTGTCCCTGGCAACTTCCCGCCGCCACGACCCTGTTTCTCCGCCCCTCCTCCTTTGACTCCCGGGGATTCCCGGGGGGCTTTCCTGTCTGACCCCTGATACTGAGGCGGCAGAGAGGCAAGGACTGGGGGCCAAAACGTGGGGCGGGACCCCGGACTGCGATCAGAACAGAGCGGGAAGGTCTTGCCAGTTTCCAGATCTGCTTTATGGATGGGAAGGCCGAGGGGGTCACGGTGGATCAAGTGCATGGAACTCGACAGGCCGGCGCACCCCCCCCAGTCCCCGTCCTCCGCCCTCGTCCTTCCGGGCTGGTTGGGGTGGTTGTGTCCATTCTGTGGCCGGTCGCGTGGGGCCGCGGAGAGTGTCTTTGGGCTGCGGTGTCCGGTGGGGTCCCTTGGGTAAAGGTGTTCCAGAGTGGTCTCTCTGAGGCTGAGGTCCCCTGGCCTTCATGGAGTTGTGAGACCTTCTCATATCCAGAAAAACATCACCAACTGCCCGGTGAGCGTCTCCCATCACACAACAGAGACCTAGTTTAGGGTCCACATGTTGGATCTGGGATGAACCCTGGCTCATAGCTGCCCTCACAGAGTCTGAGAACATCTTTTGCACAGGCACAAAATCCATCCCCTTTTTCCTCAGAGCCCAGCCCTTCCACAGCCTGTCCCTCTGTCAACCCACAGTGATTTAGGAGCACCTGGGCACACCACCTCCAGGTGCCTGGTGACATAATGGAGAAATTCCAGAGCCCTACAGCCTGTCCCCTCTGGCAAACAGAGGCTTGCTTGGTCTGTTTCTGCTCCCTGCTCAGTCTCTGCCCAGAGTTCTCCCTTTTTGTTTTTTCTTGGTGGTATTGGGTTTGAACTTAGGTTTCAGTGCTTTCTAGGCAGGTCTTGACTGACTTCAGTGTGCCTAACTCAGTTTCCCCTGCTGTGTAAGGAAAAGGAAGCCAGCAGAGGGTTTTCAATGCACTGCCAGCCTGAGTTCACAGCAAATTTTCTTAGGTGGTTTGGTTACTGGGGGTTGAACTAGACCTTACTCCACCACTGAGCACTCTACCAGCCCCTCAGCACCTATTTGTCAAAGTGGAAACTTGAGGCTCACAGGGGTGCCAGAGAATGAGGAAACTGAGGCCCAGAGAAAGGTTTTGTGTCAGGCCCTGGTGGCCCATGTATGTAAATCAGGCCAAGTCTCCCTGAGCCCATCCCCCCTTGTGCCCAGCGGGGTGCCGGGAAAACCACACAGGAAGGCGAATTCCAAGATGCAGGCCCTTCCCCGGGAGCTGGGCACTTAACCTGGGTGGGCTGTGGTCTGGAATGGTACGCTTCTCAGCTCCTGACCCTGCTTCCTGCTGCCTTCAAAGCCAGCCCAGGGCAGGCAGGGAGGGGTCGTGGGCTCCAGGAGCTAAAGCCCTATAGATGTCCCCAGCTGTCCTCACCCAAACCCTCACCACATATCACAGCGCTCACCCAGACTCCACCAGCATGACAGGGAACCTTCCACTTGCATAATGTGGAAAGGGACAGGTGGGCTGAACCATGGCAAGGCTCTAGCAGAGGGAACAGCACATGCAAAGAGCTGAGATGTCGAGGAGAGGTGGGGAAGATAAGGGAGAGAAAGACAGACACACAGAGTCAGAGACAGACAAAGACAGATGAGATACAGAGAGATACAGAATAGAGACAGAGACATAGATCAAGAGACACAACAGAGAGATAAAACAGAGACAGAGAAAGAGGCAGAGAGAGAAACAGAGACAGAGACAATCAGACAGACACAGAGCATCAGAAGCATAGAGACAGAGATATATAGAGATCAGATATAGTCAGAGATAGAGAGTCAAGACAGACAGAGCTAAAGAGAATACAGAATAGTCTGAGAGACAACACATAGACAGCACAGACAGAAAACAGAGACATAGAGAGCTAGATGAAGAGACAGACATACAGAAAAAGCAGAGACGATAGAGACACAGAGAGCAGAGGGGATGAGGCCTGAGTTCTTGAGTGGCTCAGAGGAAAGGTATGAGGAGTGTGACACTACTTGCATCCAGGTGCTTGGCCCCAGCAAGACAGAGAACCAAGTGGGGTTACCCTGTTTTTCTGTCACACCTGGAAACCTCTTGCCCTCACCCTCTTCCCAGGAGCCCAGCGTGGACTTCCTGCGCCCAGGGCCCTACCCCCCTTCCCGGTATTGTCTTGCTGGGAGGAAGTCCTCACAGCTCTGCAGGAAGCCTCCTTCCATGGAAGGTTCCAGCTCTCCCTGGAGAACTGACATCCTGGCCTCCTTGTCCACAGAAGAGTAGGAATGTTCCAGAAAGTAGCCACTGCAAAGAAAAGGGCTGAGGAGGGGATCCAAGTGTACTCCCAGCTCTGGCAAACTCTTTGGCTCATTCTCACCCACTGGTCAATTTTGGGTCCTCATGCCCCTTCTTGGGTGTGTGAGCCCTGAAGGACAGGATGCACCCAGCAGGATGAGGCCCAGGACCCACAGCTTGTGGGACCAGATGAGAGATCAGGCTGTGGGGGACATTTATTAATAAATACCATCACGGGTGTGCCCACCTGGACAACCCATGGCCCCAGTGCAGGAAACTAGGCGTCCTGGCTGCCCCTCACCCACAGCAGGACATCCAGCTCCTTTCCCTCATTGCTCGTCATGTTCCTGAAATGGCCTTGGCTGAGCTGCCTTTGAGGGCCTGATGGGAGGATGATGTGGGGCCTCAGCATCCCATGTGAATAAATACAGGGAAGCCCAATGAAAATGGCGTTGTTCTGTTTCTCTGCAAAGTTGAATGTGATTTGCAAAATGGGATTATGATTGAGGTGGCTGTCTCAGGGTGAGGTTTTATGTTACTGCTGGCTCCTGCCTGAGGAGGGCAGCAGGGAAGGAGTCCCCCTTCCTGGCTTATGATGGCCTCAACTTGGAGACATCACAGGCTATGGAGCTGAGGTTCTGAGCACCAAACTCTGGCTTTAGTGGGCGCTGAGGCCTCAAAGAACATGTGCTGGATGGGTCTGGCTTTGGCATTGGTTTCTGGGAGGAAGGGCTGCATGGCCAGGTCCTGAAGGAAATCCTTCATCCCTGGCAGGGGCCACACTTGCTGGCTGGGGTGGGCTGCCTAGGTTGATCTCAGTGCTGACCAGCCTCTCTGGTGGTTGTGACCCCTGTTGCTTCTCCTCTTTCCTGGTCAGCTTGCCCACTGCCTATGGTTGGTGCCCAGAAGCTGGTGAGGGTGCTGGGGGATAGTTCGGCCAGGCATCCCTAAGTGGCCAGCAGAAATCCTGTAGCAATCACTGGCCATGATAGGTTGGAGCTGACGAGAAAGAGGCTGATCCTGAGAGTCCTTGACAGGAGTGACTCCTCATCCTGCCCCTAGAAGCATCCAGCATATCGTCGGGTAACAGTTGGTTTTGGGTGCTGCCTGCCTGAGGGGAGAGGCTGGCTGTAGCTGTGTGAGTGTCGAGGGCCAGGGTCACAGGTGGGTGGGACACCTGAGCAGGACCTGACAGCGGCCTGGTCTCCCAGAAACCCCACCTATGTTTCACTGACAAACAGGTGCTGACTGGCTCAGCTGCTAGACACCCAGACCGCCCCTTACACAAGGTTGTCCTCTTACGAACAGCCCTGGCCAGGGCTGCTTGGTGCTGTGTGGGTGGCTTGAACCTTGAGGACTTCTCTCTGGGACTTTGTGGAGCTCTTGTGCCTGGTGTTATGGGATGGGTCAGCACTTTCCTAGCCTGCCAAACTGACAAAAGTGCAAGAAGACCTGTTGGCTTGGGCACCACCCACTGTCTGATCAGAGAACCCCCTGCTCCCTCCTCCCTCTATCTACCTCCTCCCCTCTGACCCAGCATCCTTCAAGGCTCCACCCCTACCCCAGTCAGGCCGGTGGACACCCGTCGTTTGGGAGCAAGTGCCACTCTGTCCCCACTATAGCAATGTGACCCAGAGTTAAGAGTTTGGGTTTTCTACAAAAAAAATCGGGCCATCACCCAACCAGGTAGTGGACCGATTGCAGATTGCTTAAAAGGCTTTGCCAGTCCCCATGGAAGGCTTAGGTCTGCAAGAGGATAAGACACTTGGAGCCCCAAGAGAGGAGGGGGCTGGGAACTCTCTGCTGGAGCTGAGCTCCGCTATGGCTACATCAATTCTGGCCATGCTGCAGGATCTTCCTGGCCTCTGTCTTCTGCCTCACACCCCATGCTGCAGCGGAGGCACCCGAACCCCAAGTCCCTTCAGTGGTGAATACATGTGAACAAGCAGGCTCCTCCCTCAAGGCCTCCTGCCAGCTCTTCCTGCAGGGCAGGGCCCTTCCCTACACTTCCAATATAGGCTCTAGAAGTCTCTGACAAATGGGCAGAACCTCTCAATCCCTGTTCCCTGCTTACCTGGCTCTGCTTCCCCTCAGCCCTTCCCGGTAGGATGGGGCTCACGTTGCATGGGTGGAGGAAGAGCTGAGTATTGGCTGGCATGGTGCGAAACAGGTAAGAGAACACATGAGAGTCTAGTGGCGCTTGGATGGTGGCCATGCCCTCCAGCAGCCATCCACATTTCGTGAGCACATGGGACCTTTCTGAAGTCCTTCCTTGAGAGTCAGGGCTCTCAGGTCTTCCCAGGCATTTTCCAGATTATAGAGACTTTACTTGATTACAGACCCTAACTCAAAAGATTCCAAAATGTGAAAAAGTGTCAGAGTTTCTGTTTCTCTTTCTTGAGTCAGTTATGCTGCTCAGCATAGTGGGAGGTCAGAAGGAGGGAGGCCATGGTTCCATGTCACACAACAAAAGCTTGGGAAACAGGTAAGGAACACAATGAGGTCTAGTGGGGGTGGATGGTGGGCCCATGCCCTCCAGCAGCCCATCCACATTCAGTTGAGTCAACATGGACCTTTCTGAGTCCTTCCTTGAGAGTCAGGGGCTCTGCTAGGGTCATTTCCAGGGTTTCCAGATTATAGAGACTTTACTGATTAGCAGCCCTAACTCAAAAGATCCAAAATGTGAAAAGTGTCAGAGGTTCTGTTTCTCTTTCTTGAGTCAGTTATGCTGGCTCAGCATAGTGGGGAGGTCAGGGAAGGAGGGAGGCCATGGTTCCATGTCACACAACAAGAACACAGGCTTTGCTGTTTAGGCACAGCTGCCAGCCACACGGAGCTACTGACCACTGGACATGCAATTCTTTTCTTTCTTCTTTTTTTTTTGTGATATTGGGGTTTGAACTCACTTGAGCCACCCCACCAGTCCTTTTTTGAGATGGGTTTTTTCAAGATAGGGTCTCATGAACTATTTGCCTGGGCTGGCTTTCAAACACGATCCTCCTGATCTCTGCCATCTGAGTAGCTAGAATTATAGGCGTGAGCCACTGGCGGCTGGCATTGGAATGTAATTTCTGACACAAACCTCAGCTTGGAAATGGATGTTTGACTTGGAACTAGAAACTTTTAATTTTTTTTTCAGTACTGGAGCTTGAACTCAGGACCTACACCTTGAGCCATTCCACCAGCCCTTTTGTGTTAAGTATTTTGAAGATAGGGTCTTGTGAACTATTGCCTGGGCTGGCTTCAAACTGCGATCCTCTTGATCTCTGCCTCCTGAGTAGCTAGGATTACAGGTGTGAGCCACTGGCACCCGGCTCCTGGAAAAGTTTTAAGGTACACATGGAACAACTCTGGTCTGTAACTATTTTTTTCAACTATAATGTTAGAAATCTTAAATACAGGTGAAACTTTCCCAGTGACTAGTAGTGTCTGATGGACATGTAGCCAAGTATAAAATACACTGCATTTTGTCAGATGTGGTGGTACGTTCCTGTAATCCATGTGCTGAAGCAGGAGGAGCTAGTTCAAGGTCATCGTGGTCTACATATAAGACTTGTCTCAAAAGAACATTAAAAAAATGCACAGGATTTTGAAGCCTTGGTTTGAAGAAAGACGGTAAATACCTAATACTTATTGCAATTATGTATCAAAGCAATAACATTTGGCTATACTAGGTTAAATAGATACATTTTTGTGTTTTTATAAGATTTATTTTTATCACACATTTTTCTTTTCTCTTTAACAGGCTGCTGGACACACAAGGCTCATGTGCTGTTTCTAGCAACAGGCAGTTCTGGCCTCACTCAGTACTAGCATGAACTGTGTCCCCCATCTAAACAAGAATGAGATGTTCTTTGTGTGTATATGGACAACACTGCAGGGCTTTTGAGATGCGGGCAGCTCTTTGGCAGAATACCTTCTCTAGGTAGTTGGTCTTAGGGTAGTTGACCTCTAGATAGTTCTCATGCTCTCCAACAGTCCTGTTCCCCCAATCCAGGCTGAAACCTGATAAGTCCCAAAGACAGTTTCTTGCTTCCTGCTGCTCTTTAGAGTCATAACAATGGGTCTCATAGGGCCAATTCTACCACAGGGACACTGGGGAATATAGGGGGGCATTTGTGGACTGGGATGCTCCTGGAGAGAGTGAGTGGAGCGGGGACCCGGCTCATCACCTTGCAGTTCAGCTCTATTTCAGCAGCATTGGTTTTCAAAGTCGGGGAAACGATGGAGAGGAGAGAAGGTGGAGGATGAGATGGACAAATGGGTCTCTTGACTGTAAGGGCAGGACTGGGTAGGGGCCAGTCAACCCAGAATAGGCCAGAGCAAGCTTCTCAGGGCGGTCCCCTGCCCAAGGGCTTGTTTCAGGCGCCCTGCGGGGCGGGGCTATCCGGTCAGGGTGGAGCCAGACAGCCAGGTTGAGAGTGAGGGGCCAGCTCGGAGCTCGGCCAGGGAAGAGGTAAGTGCATTTAGCATGTGGTTCTGCAGGGGGCGTAGGGGAGTAGGGCTGTGTAGCCTGAGCTTGGGCGCCCGGTCATGAAAAGGGACGGTGGGCTAGGTGCTGGTGTTAGGCCAGGCGTCAGGGGTCATCACCCGCACTCACCGCGCTCTTGCCCTTCCTGAGGATCTGCTTGGCTAGCCGGAAGATCGACTGCAGCTCGGCTTATTTTTAGCAGTACCACGCCCTGCTCGCTTGACCCCTTCCCGCCCATCTCTCCTGTACCGCCCCTGCAAAGGCCCCGCCACTGTCCTGCCCCCAACCCCACCCCTCCACTCCCGCTGTTTGTCCCACTCACCGTTCCTCCTAGGTCCTGTTCCTGTGCGTCCATCCCCGCCTCTCCGAGTCTGCCCCGCCCCCTCCAACCTCCAGTCCCGCCTCCCTTCGCTCGGCTCGGGTCGGGTTCGCAGTGCCCCATACCCTCCCTTCCGCGCTCCGCCCCACCCAGATCCTGCCGCTTCGCAGTCAGACACGCCCGTTCGCGTCCGGCCCCGCCCCACTGCGCCCTGGACCCGCTCACAGCTCCGGGCAGCCCCTGCTCTGCCTCCCAGCCTGAACTTTGATTCCTGCCAAACTGTGGGCTTAGTCTGTGGCACGCAGGCAGCGCGCGCCGCAGGGGCCGCTTTAGCACACAGTCTGCCGCACGCAGTCATTAATTCTGTCTTTAATTCAGACTGCTGCCAGAGTCCTGTCTGGCGGCACCAAAGTTCTCACTCTCCTGTTGATCCTGAGTCTCTCCTCGGGAGCTTGGTCACCTTTGCACTGCCGGGGCGGAGGCTGGAGACCGCGACCCCGAAGCTGGCCTCTGTTATCACCGGCCTGGAGAAACAGGATAACTGGAGGCCCTA